TTGAGGTGCATATGAAATAATGAAGGACCTGTGGAACATGCAAATATACCAAAAATGCTACAGATAAAACCACTGGTGTAACCAATTGCAACCATACAGAAATATTCTTATTAATGAGATTGTATGTGTACTTTTTCGAGTGTGAGTCTTGGTAGGTAAGAAATCTTTTTTTTTTTTTTCTATTACCTAGGCTGGAGTGCAGTGATGTGATCTTGCCCCACTGCAACCTCCTCCTCTCTGGTTCAAGCACTTCTCCTGTCTCAGCCTCCTAAGTAGCTGGGTTTACAGGTGTGCGCCACCATGCCCAGCTAATTTTTGTGTTTTTAGTAAAGACTAGGTTTCAGTAAGTGAGAAGTCTTACATTTTATGTGCTATTTGTGGCTTTACCACTTGCAAACCATAAGTGATCAGTTCTAATTACTAATGTGAACTTTCTTCTTATTAGTAGACAGGGGTTAATCATTACTCTCCTAACCATTAATAGTTCACATAGTCGTTGGCAAAATCAAATAAGATGAAGCATGTGGAAGTAATTGATATGCCAAAACACACTAAGCATGAAATTTGGATTTATTATGATGTAGAACCTCACTGGGACTCACATATATGAAAAACTGATTAATCTTGTATTTATTCTATACTATATTAATCAGTATAATAGTTTAGTAGCAATAATTTAAGCATACCCTTAAAAAGACCCTGTATAGAAGATTCACCTGAATGTGAGTTATAAGCTAGGGAATGGGGAGGAGCCAACCCAAAGATTGGTTCCTTATCTGTTATAAGCACCTGAGCCTCTCCCCCATCCTGTGGAACACAGGCCATACAGGGGATTGAGGCCCTGAGTTTTGTAGTAAATGAAGGTTGCCAGGTGGAAGTTGCTAGGAGATTGTTCAGTGAAAATACTACATAAACTACATGATGTCAACAGGTCGTTGTAGTTTTTCTGCCAAGCCCTGTGCCACTGGACTTTGTATGTTAATGGTGGAGGATGTCCAGGTTCTTGGAGTCTGAAATGAAGAATTGGACAGAACACACAGGCAAAGCAAGGAAGGAATGAAAGATTTTATTGAAAATAAAAGTACACTCCCCAGTGTGGGAGCAGGACCGAGCATAGGGACTCAAAGTCCCTGTTACAGAATTTTGGGAAGTTTTAAATACCCCTTAGAGGGTAAACAACACCCCATTGGTTACTCGGGGTATACCCTATCTAAATGGAGAGGGTGAAGTAAAGTTACAAAGTCATTTATGGGATATGCCCTATGGAGAAGATATTTCCTGTTACAGTATAGACGAAGTGTGAATGGACCTTATTTCCCTGTCTCTAGACCCTATTTTCCAGCCTCATCTTCCACCTGAGAGATGTGATCCCCATAAATCTTTATGGGAGGCAGAGGGATCAATGGTAGGAAGGCAGATATATGGTCCAGCCCACCACTGGACTCTCTCCCCATCATTACACCCGTAATAAAACCCTGTATCTCAATGCTGGCCTTGGGTTTCTTCTTCAGCCTCTTGAACTTGGTGCCTTCCCTATTGAGGTTAATAGATGTTTGGCACACCTGTGGTTTCCACCTAACGTCTTTCTATCATGTTTGGTGTAATTGTTGGCTGTTGCTCATGGCTTTGGCTTCTGTTTAGGCCCCTCTCCTTGATTTCTCTCTTTCTCTCTGATACATTTTAAATTTATTTTTTGACAAAAATTGTATTTATTTTTGGTATACAACATGTTTTGAAATATGTGTACATTGTGGAATGGCTACATCAGGCTAATTAACACATACAGTACCTTGCATGCTTATTTTTTTGTGATGAGACTACTTAAAAATCTACTCTCTCAGCAATTTTCAACGTTCATTACAGTATACTTTTATTAACAACAGTCACCATGTTGCACAATAGATCTCCTGAACTTATTCCTCCTATCTAAACTGAGATTTTGAATCCTTTGACAAACCTCTCCCCAGCCCCTGATCTCTGCTTCTGAGTCCTACATTTTTAGATTCCACGTAAGTGAGATCATATGGGATTTGTCTTCCTGTGCCTGGCTTATTTCACTTGCACCTTCAAAGTTCATCCATGTTGTCACAAATGGCAGTGTTTTCTTCTCTTTTAAGGCTGAATAGTATTTATATATATCTTATATTTTCTTTATCCATGGGCACTTAGATTGATTCTGTATCTTGCTACTGTGAATAATACTGCAATGAACATAGCAAATATCTCTTTAACATACTGATTGTGTATCCTTAAGATACATAACCTGTGGGGTTGTGGGATCATATGGTAGTTCTATTTTTAATTTTTTGATTAAAAATAAAACCTCCATACCGTTTTCCATAATGGCTACTAATTTACATGTCCACCAACAGTGCACAATGGTTCCCTTTTCTCCATAACCTCTCCAAATCTTTCCTTTCATCTTTTTAATAGTAGCCATTTTAACCAGTATGAAACAATGTCATATTGTAGTTTTAATTTGCATTCCCTTGATGATAAGTAATGTTGAATTTACATATATACAGACACACATATATAATGAGAAATACCTATTAGGGTCCTTTGCCCATTTTTCAATTGGATTATTTGTTTTCTTGCTATTCAACACAATTTATTGAAAAGGCTATCTTTCCTTCAGTTGATTGCTTTTTTACCTTTGTCAAAAATCAGTTGGGCATGTCTAGGTGGGTCACTTTTGGGGTTCCCTGTCCATATCATTAATCTGTGTGACTATCCTTGCACCTATATCTCACTCTCTTGGCTATTATAGCTATATAGTAAGCCTTCATATGGGTAAAATGATTACTTCCACTTTCTTTTTCTTTTCTCTCAGAATTGCTCTAGCCAAATCTGAGTCCTGGAACTTTTTTAATAAATTTGATATAAATTTTAGAATGAGCTTTTATGCATCACAACAGGCTTGCTGAGATTTTGATAGGAATTGCAATAAAGCTATACATTCATAGCTTGGGAGAATAGATGATGTCTTTATTACTTTGAATCTTCAAATCCATTAATACAGTATGTTTCTCTATTTACTTAGGTCTTTGATTTCTTTAAGCAGCATTTTATAATTTTCAGGATACAGATCCTGTATAAGTTTTGTTAATGTATACCTAAGTATTTCACTTTTTGTAACAATTATAAGTAGTAATACTACTGGTAATTGTACATGGTAATGTTAAATTAATGAATGTTCTCTAAGAGACCTCTCCCAAAACATAACAAAGAAATGTAGGTTAAAAACAGACCAGAAAAATATCTGATCATAGTTGATGCTTTATGTGATAATATGTCTTCCTGCCTGAAGGAGCTGGAACTGAGGCACTCTCCCAGTGAGGCTGGTGACCAATTGCAACTCCACGTTTTATCTAGGAATATTTCTTATATTCTTTGACTCAATATCTGAGCTAAGTGGCTTTGAGCTAGTTCTTCCGTTCTCTGAAATTCAATTTCCCATATTATAAAATAAAAATGTCTTCTTTACAAATAATACTGAGCACATGCAATTCGAAGAGACAACGTATGTAAAAGTATCTGGCACATAATAAATGATCAAGAAATGTTTCCTTTTTTTTTTTCTCTCCTCCCTTACTTTCCTCCCTGCCCCCTCCCTTTTTATTTCCTTTTCTCTTCTTCCCTTCCCCTTATTCCTGATTCATGCCACCTGGCCAGTTTTGTATGGTGGGTGAGCATGTTTGCTCCCATCTAGGGAGGGCTGTTAGTCTAGCAGCAGCTTGGCTGGTTGAATTGCAGGCTGACTCCCTGATTTCCAGCTTGTCCCCCAGAATTCCTCCACCATATATCATTCTGCTGGATGATGTAATGATGAAGATTATTAAATAATGAAGCCAATTTCTTCCATCTAAATTCTTTATGCTGAGCAGGTCAGTGAATTTTAACACAGGATGAGCCACCTGTCTGTGTTTTCACAAAAGGAAGCTGGTCTGTGATAGTTACTTATGATGAAGAGACCTGAAAATGCCTCTAAAATGTAGCTAAAGCCCCTCTGGCCTTGTATAATTTGGTTGTGGGCCTCAGCAAAATGCAGAATGGTAGAGATGCAAGCTCATAATTTGATGCAAAGACTGTCCTGGAGTTCTTGGGCCAAGCCCAGAGCAAGGCTGAGATGAAACTGACCCAGTTGAGGTTAGTCATCCTCGTGGTGGAATCCATCCTATACCAGGGATGGCTTTATGGGGAGGCCCCAAAGACATGAGGCAAGGGAAAGTAATTTCTCCTTTAGAAACTCAAATTAAACTGGAGCCCCTCAAGAGCTGATTAATCTTTCTTCTTCTCCTCATTCAACAAGTGTTCATCCAGATAATTTGGAGTGATCCCTCCTCTCCTAGCCCCAGTATTAGCCAGGTGGATGCTGCAGTGCTGGCTTGGGCCTCAGAAGCCCTTGAAGCTGCAGGCTGGTGCATCTGCTATAGCATCCTACTCGTCAGGTGACTAATTCTCCTAACTGGTCAGCAGCTCGAACAGATTATGTCATCCTCTGTCCTTCACCCATGGGTGTCAAACCAAGATAAAAATCAAGGATTAGAAAACATCCTGTGCAACCCTAGCCTTGAAGGATGTCTCATGAGAAGAAAAAACTTTTGTTGAAAATCTGCTTATTTTGCATTCAAAATAAAAACGCTTCTTTGATATTGCATTGGCTTAGGAGGAAGAGAGACACAGAGATAGACCTTCACATTGCTTTTGGTTATTATTAATATATTTTCATTTTTCTCCAAGGGCTGCTTGTTCCAGTGATAATTTCTGTCCTAGAGTTTTCCCCTTCAGGTTCTTCTAGTGGAAGTCATTAGAGTGGTAGTGTTTAAGGCAGATTAGTCAAGAAGAGTCCGTTGGCCTCTGCCAAATGACTGCCAAATATCTGATGCACCCGCTCTGACCTCATCTCACTTGGACACCTCCGGAGATGAATGTCTAGTGCAATGGTCCCTGACCACAGTGAGCTCACCCATGCTAATCTCTTCCTCTTCTTTCTCCAGCAAGGATTGAAAATAGTTCACCATGCAGAGAAGACACTGTCTAGCTTCTGCAAGTGGCAGAAGAGTATCAATCCCAAGAGTGACCTCAACCCTGTTCATCACGATGTGGCTGTCCTTCTCACCAGGTACACCAGAGACTACGTGGAACTCAGGGGCAGTAAAGCAGGGAGGGCTGGCAGGTGAAAGGCTTACCAGGTATTCAAACCCATGACATTCTCATTATTCTTTACTGCTCTTGTAAAGACAGTGTCTTCGATCTAGTCAACTCCTGACTTCCATGTCAATAGAGGAAACAGCATAACAAACTTGCTAATAAAAAAAGCTCTCCTTGTTAATAAACTGCATCTGCTGGCAAAATACAGGCATCTTTCCTATCTTATTGATGATTTCCTTTTTAAAACTGGTTTCTTCATGTAGCTCCATAAACAATCAGAAAGCTTGTTTGCAGAGCTTCATTAACGACTCCTGTTACTTTTTACCAGTGGGATTTCCAATCCTTTGCTATTTTCTTTTTCTTTTTTATTTTCTTTGCTATTTAATTTAGAAACATGAAATATCTTTACAGAAATCAGTCTACTTTTTAACTGTTTGATGTTGGGGATAGGATATGGGGAGCAGGTCCCCGCTGAGTAGGCAGACTGGTTTGGTTATTCATTTCTCCATTTTACTCCCATTAGAATATCATTTTGTTCTAATCACAAATAGAGCATATAGTGCTAATAAGAACCATCAAACTTTCCAGGACTCATAGGTGTAAAAATTCAGTGAACTTTCTTGATCAACTCTTGCTCTTTGAAGGCTGTGCTTGCTCATTGATTCAATAAATATTTATTGAGCACCTGCTATATACTAGGCCTTATTTTAATCTAGATGAAAGAAGGACTTATATTAGAATGGGGTAAAGTAAATTCTTCTTGGGCTTCCTGTGCAGATTTGTACAGAAATCCAGGGATGTATAGTAGAGGAGGCCTCTTGGCCCTGCCCTCCAACCACAGAGAACCTCAAGTACTGAAAGACCCTGGGTGTACACTGTCCCTGTGGAGGATAGGCTGCCCGTGAACATTTTGGCCCTGTGATCTGGCCCTGTGATAAGATCATCTCAAAGCATAGGATGCCTACAAGGAAGGATAATCAGCCCCCACCCTATCCAAATGTCTACCTTGCCCTGATCCAAAACTCTAGTCATCAGATTCACTCTTTAGACAGTGAGTGTTAAAACACTGGTTAAATGCAAGTGTATCACATGGGAAGTTTTTGATATAAACCTGTAACAGTAGGTTCATTAGGATCTAAGGCACCTTGGGTTATCAGTAACTCCCCTGGGGGATAGTGTGGGTGTGGAATGTAAGCACAGGGGCTTTGGGGAGCTAGCAGAGAGCCTGGGGACACCAATGACCTGGACAAGAGGCCTGGTAAAGACTTCAGTTAGAAACTTCTACAGGGGAGACCCCTGGAGTCAGGGAATGGCATTGGCCACTAAGTTGTGTCTCAGAAAGTCTTTCCCTCCCCTGAGAGCAGAATCAGACACTCCTGTCATTCTCACCTGAAGAAATGAGTGGGTTAATAGCTTACATGTGTGAAATGTTTGATATGGTCTAGACTCTGTGCTATGTCTATTAGAACAGCCATTGTTTCATTTACTTCCCACAAGAATACTAGTAGTTGGCTACTATTAATCATTCATATTTTACATATAGGGAAACTGAGCCTTGGTTATGTCTCTTGCCCAAAATCTCATTGCTGTTAACAGGTACAATTGGGACTTAAGTCCACATAGTTTGACCCCAACAGCCATACCCTTAGCTATTACTCAATATGAATACAAAGAATCTTCTCTCCTTTTTTTCCGTACTATAATCACTTTTCTTCCTTAGAGCAGCAGTCTGTTTGCATAAAAGCATGCTGAACCTCAACAGCTTCTAGACGGTGGAGAACATTTCAAGTTCTGTAGCCATATTTCCCACCCTTAGCACTATTGACATTTGGAGCTGATGATTCTTTGTTGTTGGGGGTGTCTTGTGCATTGAAAGATATTTAGCAGCATAACTGGCCTCTACCCATGAGATGTCAGTAGCACTCTCCTCCAAGCTCTGATCTAGACACTGCCAAATGTTCCCCAGAAGGGGTTGAAAAGCAAATTCACCCACCCTCATTGAAAACCACTTGTCTGAAAAACTAGATAGGATCACACAGGGATGGAGGTATGGGAGTGAGTTTTGCTTCTGAGGGACTATCCTGAGATCCACATTAGCAGAGTTCTCTACAGAACTGCATTCAGTAGAAGGTGAATTTAGCATGGAACACACCCGATGTGGGTTCCACATCTGCAGCCAGTGGCTGCATGCCGAGGCATATTTTCTGTTACATAATGGCCCCAGTGCATGGTAGTGCATGGTGGAAGTAGAACTTAAGCTGCTTGACTGTAAGAACCATGTTCCTATAATTCTTTTGTTAGCTCCTTTTTTCTTTAGTGCTAGACACTTCATAGCACTCTATAATCAGTATTTAATGTGCCTGACCTCCTGCCAAAATGAGAAAGGCAGGGGATCAGAAGTGAGCCCCATTCATCACCTTCCATCAGCTTCATACAGAACTGGACTTATTGAATGAAGTAATAACAAGTGCATCCTGCAGCAGGAGTAAAAAGTATTTGACTGGTTCTCTTACAGACCCAGAAATTATGTAAATGATTAGACTGTATAATCTAGCTCTCCAGTACTGAACCCCTAGTAACTGCTGCTGCTAGTGAGAGTGCGGATTTGAGTTTGTGGTGCATGTGCTGAGATGGGGCCTGCTCTCTCCTGTCCTATAGCCCCAGCCATTGCCACCTAGAGAACTGAAGATTCACATAGGTTCTAGAAGTCTGGATCTTTTCCATGGCCCAATGAATGACAAAAGCAGGAGAGCATTTGTTGCTAGAAATGGTGCCCACACAAACCCCATTAGCTGCTGGTGTTCAATTAACTAGAGCTCAGAAAATCGTGGGCATTTCTGCTAGTCACTGCTGGCAAAGAGCTCCTTTTGTACTAAAGAGACCAAGTGACTAATTAATGACTCTTTCAAAACTCTTGTCCGTGATTGAAATAATCTCCACCAGTTTATGGGAGCAGGTTTTTCTATTTAAAGTCTATCGTTAGTATTTTCTGAGATTCTAAATGTACATGCACACACAGGCATGCATTCTCTCGTATATGCAATATTATTAGTGGAATGGGGCTGGATAGACAATTATTAGATCTCTGGATAGGTTGATGTACCAACTGTCTTTTTCATGAACGGGGAAAAGAAGTTCCTAGATGAGTTTTGAACACAGACCTCAGAAAGACTAAAAAGGAGTTTCATATGACTGAAAAACTCCAGTCACTACTGATTGTTCATTCCCTATTTACAAGTTCAAATTAACTTCAGTTTCCAATAAAATCTTTTGTTGTCCAAATTATGTAATTTGACCTCCTGAGATCTAGAGCAAAAAAAGCTCAAAGTAACACAATTGATACATTTTCCCACATTCAGTGATGGTGAAATTCAATAATCAAAAGGTGCAATCAGAATCATCTTAGTGAATTCAAAATTGCTGCCTACACTCATGTAGGTTTTAAAAAAATGCCAAGCATGCTTTATAGACCACATATTGAAAGTGAGTTTATACAACAGATTTTTTTCCAGGAGGTTTTTCCAGTTGTTCCTTTGGGTACCTGAGCTTCTCTATTCTCTGCTTTCAGAAAGGACATCTGTGCTGGTTCCAATCGCCCCTGCGAGACCCTGGGTCTGTCTCACCTTTCAGGAATGTGCCAGCCTCACCGCAGCTGTAACATCAATGAAGATTCAGGACTCCCCCTGGCTTTCACAATTGCCCATGAGCTAGGACACAGGTAAAGGGCCAACTGTAGGGAGGTCTGCTCACCATGTGTATGTATTAATATCAGCAGAGAAAAAGGAACGCACCTCAAATTGGAGGTCAGGAGACTCAGATTGCACTGTGGCTTGCGACTCACCCTCCTCAACCTCTGCTTTCATCGGTAAAGTGGGGATAGTAGCACACCTCATGGGCTCCAAAGTCTGCACTGCCCAACCCATATACACCCCCACACATCACAGAACCCAAGAGGCCACTCCAATTCTCTGGATTAGAATGGAGGAAGTACAGAGACAAGCTGGAACTCAGTTGTTTAATTGAGGAATAACCCTTGGTTAGTTCTTATGAAATAATCACATTAATATCACTAAAAAGCCACAAAACTTAATATTTTTGCACCCTTACTTTGTGCCATTGTGCTTTTTATTGCATCATTGAATTTGCTCAACAACACTTTGAAGTAGAATTATTAGTCCCATTTTACTTATGTTTATTAAAGGATGACATAGAATAAATAAGAAATTGAAAACTGCTGTAAACTTGGAAAGAGTATAATGTGAACACCAGTTAACTGGATGTCCAAGTTGTTCACAAAAAAAGTGTAAATTTGATTAGGTGGATTCCTTGAAGGCAGGTTTCAGAATGCTTGAGTGAAGGTCTAATAAGATTCTGAATTTACCAGATATCAGAGGTTTTCAGGGGAAATAGATCTTAGCTTATTCGTAACTTTATTTGCCGTTATATTTGCTAACCACAAATAAGAGAGCATCATACTAATAGGAAACTGGGTGAGGAGCCACATGAACAGTAATATCCCCTGCCTGTCATGTATCCACCAGCCTGGAACTCCTCCCTTTGAAGAAGGGAAATTGCTGGGGAATTCTTAGTGTAAAACTAGAAAAGAGCCAGAATTGGAAAAAACACTAGAGACTGAATTACTCCAGACCTGGCCTCTCCAGTTTTGGCTTGCTCACTATTTTCCTAATATAACATTTGGACTTTCTGAAACAATTTTACCTGCATTATAAAGTCAGAGCATTACCTTGAGAATTGGAGAAAGATAATTCTTGTTCTGACTTGTCTATTGATGAATATTATGATCTTAGATAATTCCCTTCACCACTCTATACCTGTTTCCTCATCTATAAAATGAGTAGGTTGAACTAGCCAATATCTAAGGTGATTATTTGGATTTTCACCAAAAAAGCTTTGGTGATAAATGTGATATATTTCAGTATGCTTAGCTGTCAAAAATTCAGAGATAGAGAAGCTAAGTGACTTGCTTTAATTAAATAATAATTAAAGATGAAGAGGAGCTGGTCATCTTGATAAGACTAAGCCATAGTTGTTGGCATGTCAATAATAAAACCTGGCAAAATGTAGGTTATGCTATAGGCAAACAAACAGGGGTCTTCAGTTCTGATATGTGGATGGATATGGTCCCTGTAGCCTTCAGTCAAGACATTATTGTCAACAGCACCTCCTGGCCAAACAATGCTAGGTGATTGTAACTGGGTCAAACTGAGAAGTTACCACTCAAGCCTTCCTAGCAATGGTATGCTTAAACCAAAGAGAAGTAAAAAACACTTTGCTTGATAAAAGACATTCTCAAATCCTCACTTTTTGTGTTCCAAGGAAGGGTTCTTTAAAACCTCAAGTTCAACCTGATCTTGTAATGAGAAATATGTTAAGCATGCCCTTTGAAAGCCATGTTGCCCAATTTTTGAGGGAATCATTGACTTGACTGACTCTCTGGACATGGCCACATCACTTTTGTAAGGAAGGCCGCCTAAGTAAACAAAGCTAAGAGCAAGTATGATCCTCCTTTCAGATTTCAAAATTTCTCTAACCAAGTTGAGAACCTCATAGTAACATTACTTGCACACAATTTCCCTGAACACCTAAAAACAAATAGTTGTAGATGTTTAGTAGTTGTTGGATATGGTGGATTACTTAATAGACTAGAGCTAGGTCATTACCTGAATCAATTTGATAGTACAGTAAGGTTAAACTAAACACTAGTTCCGAACTATCTGATGCATTGTGAAAATAAAACTACCAGAAGGTTTTATTACCTATGCTTTTGTTGTTATTGTTCTGTTTCAAATTATGCAGAAAAAAAGCAATGAGGATCTAGCATCTAAAAAAACTCTTTAAATATCAAGTTTCTAAGTAAAAGAATTGAAGAACACTTAAGGCAGAACTAGAGAACAGTCTTTGAGTTCATCCAGAAAGCCATTACTCTCAGCAGACTAACACAGGAACAAAAAACCGAACACCTCATGTTCTCACTCATAATTGGGAGTTGAACAATGAGAACACATGGACCCAGGGAGGAAAACATTACACACCAGGGTAGGGGCCAAGGGGAGGGATAGTATTAGGACAAATACCTAATGCATGCAGGGCTTAAAACCTAGATGGTGGGTTGATGGGTGCAGCAAACCACCATGGCACATGTATACCTATGTAACAAACCTGCCCATTCAGCACATGTATCCCAGAACTTAAAGTACAATAAAATAAAATAAATAAAAATAAATAAATAATTGTATATAGCTTAAAAAAAAAAAAAAAAAAAGTCAACCCTGAGACAAGGATTTGAGAGCAGTTAGTTTGTTTGGAAGGTAAAGGAAATATCAGTAGGGAATTAGGGTAGTAAAACATAAGAGGGAAGGGAGAGACAATAAACAGTTTATTATTTCGGCTTCCACTCTGAGCAACTGAAACTTAATCCCATGGACCAACCCAATAAATGAATGAATTGGAGTTGGTGAGAACTGGGCTGTTTTATATGCCAACACCCTTAAGTTGTTTGTTAAAAGCTATTCCCAGAGGTTGTTATTATTAGTTCCCTGATACTCATAGCAGAGCAGTCTAACTTGGCTCTGGAGAAATCCCAGGTAAAGAGATGCATATACTAGCAGCTGAAAGTCAACTAGTGGTGAGTCTATGAACAGGTACCAACAGCATCTGTTACCAATAGCTTACTCAGGGGCATTAAATGCCACCTTTGAAAAGATTTTAAGTCACGGAAGATGTAATATACATACTTTTCCATATTCCTTCTACTAAATATGATGAAAAATGCTGAACACTATATCAAAAACAAACATAGGAAGACTGAAAGATGGAAAGAAGGAAGACAGGCTGAGGACCACAGAACCTGAAGAGTGACATGATGGTGAAATCCCTGGCTTTTCTTTTCTCTCATATATGCCAGACTTGGAACCGTTGATGGCAGCAACCTGGAAACACACACACACACACACACACACACACACACACATGCAATCACCCAAATAAGCCTGTTCTCTCTATCCAAAGGAGGAGCAGGAAAGGGACAGTCTAACAAGACAAAATTTTAGATACTAACTCTTTTATTCCAGGTGAACAGCACAGGGAAAGAAAAGCTGTAAAACTGTGGCTTTATACTAGCAAAGTCTGAGTGGGAAGCGAAGACTTGCACCTGTGTGAAGCTATACCAAAGCACCAAACACCACTACTTGGGCAGTGTCAAAAAGACCAAGTAGGAACTAAGACCTTGATTCCTATAGGCCAGTAATGCGGGATCCCCTAGCCCTACTCCTGTAGTGTCAGGACAGATAACATGGGAGCAAGAGATTCCATTCGTCTCCAACAGTAGCAAGGAGCTATCCATTTCACAACGTAGGTATCTATAGAGGCTACATGAAAAACCTTAACTTCTACTTGTGCCGGGCAGTAATGAAGCAGTGGCCCTACTCCATTCCCCTCCAGAGTAGTGTCAGGAAAGCCAGCTAAAACCGAAGATTTAAATAAGATCCATGACATAATATTAAAACCTCCAAGTTTCAATGTAAATTACTCATTAACTAAAACCAGGAATATCTCAAACTGAATGAAAAAAAAGAAGAAGAAGAATGTCAAGAGATGAGATGTCAGTACCCAGATGACAGAGATGTTAGAATTAGCTGAAAAATATCTCAAAGTGGCCATGGTGAAAAATCTTCAAAGAGCAATTACCAACAACCTTTAAACAAATGAAAAAATAATAAGTGTCAGCTAAGAAATAAAAGATATAAAGAAACATCAAACACATAGAACTGAAAAATGCAATAATGTAAATAAAAAGCTCAGTGAGTAGTAGGGCACAACAGTAGAATGGATGGGATAGAGTAAAGAATTAATGACCTAGAACATAGAACAATAGAAATTATGCAATCTGGATAAACAAAGAGACAGAGACTAAAAGAAATTGAACAGAATTTCAGAGACCCATGAGAATATAACAAAAGATCTTACGTTCATGTGTTGGCACTTCAGAAAGAGAGGAAAAAGACAATGGCATTGAAAACGTGCTCAAAGAACAAATGGCCGAAAATTCTCCAAGTTGATAAGACTTAAACTTACATATTTAAGAAGCTGAGGGAAACTCAACCAGGTTAACCCCGAAGAATATCCATGCCCATGCCTATCATAATTGAACTTCTGAAATCTAAAGAGAAAGGAAAATCTTGAAAGCAACAAGAGAGAAATGATGCCTCATCTATAGGAGGGAAACTATTCGAGTGACAGTGGATTTCTCATCAGAAACAATGGAGGCTCAAAGAGGTGGTGCAATATTTTTCAATGCTAAAAAAACAGATTCTGTCAACAACGCAGAATCATAAACCAAATAAAGTAGCTGAGAAGGGAACATTTTTTATTCATGTTATAAAGCTAGTATTACCTGGGTACCAATTTCAGACAAAGACAATACAAAAGAGAAAACTAAAGAACAATATCCTTCATGAATATAGATGTGAAAAGTTAACAAAATATTAGAAAATAGAATTCAGCAATATAAGAAAAAAAGAATTAGACACAATGACCAAGTGGGATTTATTTCAGGGATGCAAGGCTGGCTCAATATTTGAAAATTAGCACAATCCACCATTGTAACAGGCTAAACAAGAGAAACTACATGATTATATTAATATTAATTTTAGTAGATAAAACATTTGGCAAAAATTTGACACCCACTCATCATAAAAAACACTCAGAAATTGAAATTTCTTCAACTTGATTAAGAACATCTACAAAAAATTCATAGCTAATATTGTACTTAGTGAATATGTTTACCCTAAGATCAAAAACAAGACAAGGACATCCATTCTCACCACTTTTTATTCAACATAGTACTAAGAGTTTCAGCCAGTGCAATGAGAAAAAGAAAGGAAATAAAAAGCACATATATGGGAAAGGAAGAAACAAAACTATTCCTATTTGCAAGTAACATTGTATATGTTGGGGACCCCATATACAATGAGAGAACTGATCTTTGACAAAGTTGACAGAAATATACAATTGGGAAAGGACACCATATTTAATAAATGGTGCTGGCAAGATTGGATATTCACATGTAGAAGAATAAAACTGGATCCCTATCTCTCACCAAATACAAAAACTAACTCAAGATTGATCAAAGACTTAAATGTAAGTCCTGAAACTGCAAAAATCTTAGAAGAAAACCTGGGAGAAACTCTTTTAGACATTGGCCCAAGCAAAGAATTTATGACTAAGACCTCAAAAGCAAATGCAACAAAACAAAAAATGCCAAATGGGACTTCATTAAACAAAAAAGCTTCTGTGTAGCAAAAGAAATAATCAATGGAGTAAACAGATAACCTAGAGAGTGGAGAAAATATTTGTAAATGATACATCCGACAAAGGACTAATATCCAGAATCTATTAGGAATTCAAACAACTGAACAAGAAAAAAAAACAAGAACCACCATTAAAAAGTAGGAATAGAATATGAACAGACATTTCTCAAAAGAATACACAAAAGTGGTCAATAAACATATAAAAAATCCTCAACATCACTGATCATCAGAGAAATGCAAATTAAAACCACAGGGAGGTACTACCTCACACCAATCAGAATGGCTATTATGAAAAAATCAAAAAATGACAGATTTCAGTGAGGATGTGGACAAAAGATAATGCTTATACACCATTGTGGTTGGAACTATAAATCAGCGCAAACTCTATGGAGAACAGAATGGAGATTTCTCAAGAACTAAAACTAGAGCTATCATTCAACCCAGCAATCCCACTACTGGTTATATACCCAAAGGAAGAGAAATTACTGTGTAAAAAAGATACCTGCACTCATATGTTTATGGCAGCAGCACTATGTACAATAGCAAAGTCATGAAATCAACCAACAGATGATTGGATACTGAAAATGTGGTATACATACACCATGGAATACTACACAGCCATAAAAAAAGATTGAAAACATGTCTTGTGCATCAACATAGATGAAGTTGGGGGCCATTAGTCTAAGTAAAATAATGTAGAAAATCAAATACCTTGTATTCCCACTTGCAAGTGGGAGCTGAACAATGAGTATGCATAGACATACAGAGGGAAATTGTAAAAACTGGGGACACCAAAAGCTGGGGAAGGTAGGAGGAGAATGAATTGAAAAGTTACCTATTGGGTGAAATGTTCACATTTGGGTGATAGGTACACTAAGCCCTAACCTCAGCCTTATGCGATGTATCTGTGTAAAAAGTCTGCACATGTACCCGCCCCCGAATCTGTAAAAATCAAGAATAGAAAAAAAAAGTGTTAAGGTGCCTCTCAGGTATTTATTTCTTAAGTTGTATAATTATGATTAGCTGTGGACCAAACTGAGAAACATTGGGCAGATCAGTGAAATGGCCTGGGACAGCCCATAAGGAGAAAAATATAACAAATCAATATCCCAAGAAGACACTCATCATAGTTTAATAATAAAGACATCACTTTGTTTTTTGCAAACTTGTTTGTTTCATCACTGATTGTATATAATGCAAAGGAGAAAGTAACTTGTACTACAACCCAAGTGAATAATTTTACTTTTATTTTGAGAGAAAACTTTAAAAATCCATTTGTGAGGGTCCTAGATTATTTGGCTTGCTATATCGAAATATCCACAGCTAAGAGGATCATCATTATTCATGTAGGTTTTTAGAACCTTGCTTGCAGTTTAGAATTTTAACTATTGAACAGTTAAACTTGTAGAGTACTTTATGAGCTTGGTAGGGCTGGATTTGCAACAGGCTAGGGAAAGCATGGTCAGAAGGAAGCTTTCATTGAATCCATTGAATCGTATTCCTTGTGGGCGAGTGGTAAGAGCTTTGTACAATAATTCTCTGACTTCTTTGTGAGTTTTGTATTCATGTTGAATGTGATTAGAAGTTGGATATATGAGCTTCCCAGTCAGAGGAGTTAAATTTCACTACAAAGAGTAAAAGGTCATACAGATTTAGAAATTTAAGCCAATGTCTTCAGGTTTAAATGTCCAGTGTCTCAAAGTCCATCCCAGTGGAGAGAGTTCTGGGAATCTTTGGAAAGCATCTTTGGGTGATCTTGAGAACGTAACTTATAAACAAAGGCTTCTGAGTTGGCTTCTTCCCCCAGGAACCCCTGTGCCATGTTGGATGGTTAAGCTCTTTAAGGCCCTTCAAGGCTGCTTCACTGGGTCAGCCCTGGCAGTGGAAGGTCAGGGGACAAACCAAGTGACACATGGACAAGAGCACTGTGTTAGGAGCACAAAGATCTGTGTCTAAAACTTAGTTACCACTAACAAGCTATATGACTTTTGACAAATCTCCAAGTCTAAACTTTTTCATATGGAAAAGGAAAATAAGCTAGATCATGATTTCAAAAAAAAAACAATTTTTAAAAAATTATATCATTTACAAAGCCCTTATCTGCCAGGTGCCTTGTTAAATGGTTTTCAATTTCAGATCTCATTGTAGCACTAGGATGACTACCCCATCTTCCAGGAAAGGGAAATGAGGCAAGTTTTGATAATTTATAGGTCATTTAAGTGGAAAGACTGGAATTCAAATCCAGATAATCTGTCTTAAAAACCCAGCTCTTAACCACTGAATCAGGAGGCCTCCTTAATGTGTCCACTATTGGAGGACTCGTGTGGCAATAGTAGAAAGACACCTATCCCTCAAATCTTACAGGCTTTGACAAAGTCTCCCAGAGGCTTCTGTTTTTATACCCTCTCCTAAATTGTGGTCAAAAGGGAGAAGGAAGGTTTTGTTCTTTTGCTCTGTGCGCTGTGGTTGCTGCAGCAGGAGAAAGCAAATAGCTGGGGGCAGGATTTGCCTTCCTGACTCCTGACTCATAGAAGGAAATCCAGACAGAGCTCTTAGCCTTCTGCCAAGCAGAAGTTTCTGAATTAGCTGTATGGCCCCCATGGATGCATATTTGACATAAAGCATGCCTACAGTGTTCCCTGTGCTTTTCAGTTTGAAAATTAGCTATGCCCCTCCAACTTCAAAGACTCACTTTGCAAACAGTTGCCTCCTGTACAAATGTGGCTCTCTGTGGGTTATTATTCTCTTAGCGGAACTGTGGTTTTTCTCGCTGTTTAATGCCTGCCTGCTGGCTCTTATTGTGCTTGGTTCCTCCCTGCCAGCTTCGGCATCCAGCATGATGGGAAAGAAAATGACTGTGAGCCCGTGGGCAGACACCCGTACATCATGTCCCGCCAGCTACAGTACGATCCCACTCCGCTAACGTGGTCCAAGTGCAGCAAGGAGTACATCACCCGCTTCTTGGAGTAAGTGACATGTGTCTCATGATGCCCTCACTTGAGTCTCTTTAACACAGAAGCTGCACTGAGTTTTACACAGAGAAGCTGATGCCTGGAAAAGGCTGGGTTCCATCCCACAGGCCACAGTGTCTGGGTGGCATCAGAAGGGGCGGATTTCACTTCTGTATTCTGATCCTGAGGTCTAGATGGGCCCCGCCCTCTGGCCACAGCCAAGTGAGCATCCTATCCCATCCCAATTGCTCCTGCCCCAAAACAGCCTTTTATGAGCTAATTATGAATTAAGTCCTTGGGAACTGGCAGGAACAACCAACACAGGTCAGAAGTGGTCACTCAAACCTCATCAAGAGTAGGGACTCCTAAACAACTCCTCTCATTTCCATTAACTTGTTTTCAGCCGAGGCTGGGGCTTCTGTCTTGATGACATACCCACAAAGAAAGGCTTGAGGTCCAAGGTCATTGCCCCAGGAGTGATCTACGATGTTCACCACCAGTGCCAGCTACAGTATGGACCCAATGCTACCTTCTGCCAGGAAGTAGAAGTAAGTGTTGGCTATCTTGGTACCACTTGCTGGGTATATGCAGGGCTTCAGAGCTCCAGCATGCTGAAGGAAGGGCCAGGGCAATATTTGGAAATCTGAAGCTTTATATTTAAGGCAAGGCGTGTCTGTAAGGCAAAACAATTAAGCTGGAGTCATATTCCTTGACATTGCCCCCTTGGTAGTCTACGAAGCCTACATTCCGTTACAACTGGGTGGTGGTTGAGACAGTTCCACAGTGATTTTCAGGATTCAGTGATTCACACCTGCAGACTCCATAGCAACCAATTTAATCCCTAAAATTGCTCCCTTTCTTGAATTTCACATCTGGCTGAAGAGTACCAGCAGATTCCAAGGTAGAAATAAGATTTATTCACCAGTTCGTTCTTCTCGTTTATTTTCAACATCCAAATGATAACTCAGGATTTGACACCGTATCTTTTGAAGAGTCTTCTTCTTTACCACTGCCACTGCCTCAGTTCAGGCTCTCATCATCTTTCCTTGCTAGTAATTACCTCCCACCTTGTCTCCCTCCTATTCAAATTGTTGCTCAAGTTGTCTTTTAAAAACCACAATCTAACCATGGTCTTCTCTGCTGTTAGAGTCCCCGATGACCACAGGATAAAGTCCCAGCTCCTTTTGAGGCAGTCCTTCATGATGTGGAACCTGTCTATTCTCTAAATTCATTCCTTTAAATGCAGAAGTATCCATGTTAACACATAAATATGAATGAGGCAAATCTCGCTGAATCCCTGCCAGATTCTGTGCTACGTACTGAGTAAGGAGAAAAGATAAGCACTCAGAAATTAATAAGACAAAGTCTCTGCCCTCAAGGAGCTCATGGTGGAGAAGGCAGGCATAAAAATTTTAACACAGTGAGAAATTCAAAGCAAATCATAGAAAAAAACCTAAAAGGGGTTGTAAATAACTGTGCTTAGACAGAACAAGCAAAGTAGCAGAGAAGGTAAAGATACGAAAATCTCTCTTCACTTCTACCTGGCTACCAAGTTATGCCAGTTCTGCCTCCTAAATATTTCTTTTCTTTAGACAGTCTCCCTCTGTTGCCCTGGCTGGAGTGCAGTAGTGTGATCTCAGGTCACTGTAACCTCTCTCTGCCTCCCTTGTTCAAATGATTCCTGTGCCTCAGCCTCTCAAATAGCTGGGATTACAGACGCCTGCCACCATGCCCGGCTAATTTTTGTATTTTTAGTAGAGACAGCATTTCACCATGGTCAGGCTGGTCTTGAACTCCTTACATCAGGTGATCCACCTGCCTCAGCCTCCCAAAATGCTGGGATTACAGGTGTGAGCCACCCAGCCTGGCCTAAATATTTCTAAAATCTACCTGCTTCTAGATGACTACAGCAGTTCCCTGATTGGTAGAGTCTGAATGCTTAACTCTGATTCATTTCCCAAAATGCAGCCTAAGTAAACTTTACAAATGGAAATCCATTTATAAATGGATTTATAAATACTCCCCTTTGAGTAGAATATCTCATGGCCTTCCCATTTTTTTGCAATAAAGTACGAATTTCCTGAAATGGCTTAAGAAGGGGGTTCAGAGTTCACTCTCCTCCTGCTCTCTGGCCTTATGTTTTTAGAATATTGTTTTAGCCCTTCCCTTCTAGTCTGGTACTGATTATGTATATATGGAACTTTATCACTAATCTTCCCTATCTGGGAAATCTCTCCTTCATATTTTCATCTCTTTATATCTCTGTACTTTATATCATTTCGTTACCTTTATTTTCTAGTTTGCTAGTTCTCTCTTCTGATTTTTTCCAATTATGCATTATATTTAACCTACCTATTGACTTTATAATCTTACCATATTTTATTTATAGGAGTCTACTTGATTACTTTTCAAAATTTTCTCTCATTTTCATGGTATTTTGATCCTAATTTTAAACTTTTGATGTAATCTTTTATTTCTTTAATAACCTATGACATACTTACTTTGCAATTTATAGTGAGTACTTTTAGTGTTCAGAATCTATGTGCCTCTGTTTCTCCTATTTGGAGTTTCTTCTGGCTCTCATATATTACGTGGTATTTCCTTTTGTGATTTTTGCTTTTATTGTGAGCTTTTAGTTATAAAACTTTATGTCAGTTTTCCTTTAGGACTCACATGGCTGGCACATTCTTTCAGAGAAATTCATCTCTGGGTCAATTTAAAATGCTATTGACTTGATGTTGTGTTGACTTCATGAGCAGCATGGGGGCGAGTATGGATACCAACTCTCAGGAGTAACTTTTGGCCACTCCTTCTAGAGCTAAAATCAAAACAGAAGTGTTTTCTGTGTACCTAGATTTTTTTCAGGTCACCCTTTCACTCATGGACTTATATGAAGGTCTCCAATAAGAAACAGGCGTCTCCCACTTCCCACTTCACACAGGACCTAGGCATTGTCCGTAGTATCTAAGCGACTAATAAATCTAAGATCTAAGTGACTAGATTTGCATCTCCAGCTTAACACTTCCGCTACATTTTTAGCCTCTGGGGAGTTTCTTTACTTTCTTGGTGACTCAAGGATTCACTTAAAACTTTTAAAATATTTTATGCAGGATTTTAGAAGATTTATAGAGGTAAGGGTTTTCAGGGTATCTTGTTTGCTAGAAACAGAACACCCTAATTACCTCTGGTCAGCTCCTCTTTTGCAGTCTGTGTTTATCTGTCATAACAGCCTCCATTCTCTGAAAGTGCTGGGTTCTCCACAACCTCCAGAACCCTGCACACTCTGGTTCCTCAGAACCATCCCTCTGCTCATCATCTGAGTCTCAGCTTAAATATTTGTTTATATCCTATGCTGAACTTCCTTTGTCAAAGCTTTATTAGACTATATTTTAGGTTCTTGTTTACTGAACGGTTTCCTTTCCTACCATGTCAGCTCTCTGAGGAAATTTTTGTCCCTGACACTCAGCAATGCTCAGCACATCATAGGCACACAATAGAGAAGTGAATGAAGACTTCAGATCCCTTTATATGGCAGCCAAGTTAACCTCATCATTTTCCATATTGACGACATGCTAAAATACCAGAAAATGTAGCATCATCCATCTTATAACTTTTTATTTTGAAATTGTTTAAACTCTAAAAAATTAAAAGAATTAGTACAAAGTTTCTGTGTAGCATTCACCCAGCACATCATCCTTTCTAAATGCTCAGTGAACTTAAAGTAAAAGAAATCCTCAGAAAGAAGGGAAAAATAATAAAAGGGGAGTGACAAGCATGAATAGATATTGAGGCTGAGGTGGAAATAACAAAAGGGCTTGGGTATTCACATCCAAATTGGAACAGACAATTACGTATTCTCCTTGAGCAGGGCCAGGATTTAGAACCAAGACCTTTGCATGAAGCTGTGATTCTCAACGAGTTATGCTTCAATGAAAGGATAAGCTAGAAGAAATCAACCAAAAGGAAAGGAAGATGACAGAGAAGCATCTTTTATCTCAGCCTGCTTTCTAGTGGGGAAGTGGGAGGGTGCATGGAAATACTGATAAATAACTTTCTCACTAAGAAATTCTTTACTACAGGCCATGCTCATGCTTATCTAGAGTTTAAATCTGTACCCTGTATAGCTTGATTACCTCCATGGCAATAATAATAACACAACATTTGGCCTGAAGATACTGTGGATGCCTGGAAATAAAGGTGAAACTGCCCCAGAGGAATCAACACACATCCAAGACAGCACAAAACTCCCAATAGAAAAAGCCACCCTTCAGATGAGTTCATAATTCAGCCTCTAATTCAAAATCTAATATAATCTATCTTGACCTAAGTGAAAAGACACAATGTGTCCTCAAGAACCTTCAAAAATTGAATTTTTATATAGGAATAATAAAATAGATATATAAGAATGAATTATGATATGAGGAAAAAATACTATAAGATATATGTAAGGCAGATATGCAGAAGAATAAATCCAACTTCTGGAAATGAAAAGTGTGGTTATTGACTTAAAAATTCAGTGGATGGATTAAACAGCAGACTTGACACAGTTGAAAAGAAAATCAATCAACTGGAATTTACAGCTGAGAAAATTACTTCCCATCCCACATGGGTGTTTCTTAAGGGTATATGATAGAGGAGGAAGTTTCTTCAGTTTTCACAGAGAAGAAGATTGAGAGCTGGGGAATATGAAAGTGAAGTTGAAACATAAAGCACAAAATAAGAAGGTCCATCAATAATAATTACAAGTTCCAAAAGGAGAGGCAAAATTTAGAGAGAGAAAGATTAATAATTTTCTAAAATGGCTTAAAATATGAAGTTGTGTAATGAAAAAATACATACAATGTAGAACACAATAAGTGAATAAAACAATGGAAGATGAGTAGACAGAAAGAAAACACTAATATAGATGGAAGCAGCTAAGCCATTTCAGATGACATCTGAGAATCCTGCCAACATTCCTTTGTCCCCACTGGGGTAGAAATAAGAAGGAATATGCAATTCTCATCCTGGAAACTGAGACTCACTGACTACTTTGGATAATAAGTGAACAAGCTGAGGCTATCTAAGTGGAATAGTTTCCATTTTCTTCACTGAGCAGACTCAAGTTATAACCACCCCCAACTCTTGGTAATCAGGTCGCCTTCCAGCCACAGTTTAGATTTACATTTCATAGGCAAACCACAGTTACTCTTCCCAAGGGCAATGAGTGCTGGATATTGTGCCAAACTTATAGAAATGACCATCTCAACTTTTAGAAAACAGGTTTTATCTCTCATTTCCGTATTACCTAGTAGGATCTCTAGACCATTGTTTATGAATGATGACAAAGTCTAAGTTAAGACCTGAAAACTCTAATGATTACTGTCTGTCACTCTAGTCACTAACAGCAGTGGCATTTATTGTGAGTGTGTATATTTTACCGTAATTATAGAAATGCTTTGGGATAAGTATTGAAAATACTTAAAAAGTGCAATTTGTTTTCTAGAATGTCTGCCAGACACTGTGGTGCTCCGTGAAAGGCTATTGTCGCTCTAAGCTGGATGCTGCTGCAGATGGAACTCAATGTGGTGAGAAGAAGGTGATGTGTCAGGCTGAGAGATTAGGTGGGAGGGCGGTGGGCACAGCGTTCTTGGAAGGAGCTGAGGAGAAGGCCCTAGAGGGCAGCCGTCTTTGGGGGAAGAGCAGTGGATGGAGGTCGCACAGTCAGACCAGCTTGGGGAGAGCACCCCACATCACCACTCCTGGTGAACCTGCATTGAGAGCAGGTAGTTAAGGAGGGCTGAGGCCCAGTTTCAAGCTTCACTTGCAAAACATCTGTTTCATTTTTCCCTGATGGACTTCTGTGGAGTTTGTGGTCAACATTTTCTAAGCTTACTATCAGCCTTTCTTTTGACTTTTTTCCTCCCATACTGAAGACTGAAAAGGATAAGCCAGCGGCTTCTTCTTTCCAAAAATGCAAGATTTAGGTCACTTATCATTCTTTCTCATCATCTGACATGACTGCATTTCTTGAAGTTCTGCTACTTTACGAAACAGGAAAGTCAGACACCTCAGAACTCAGAGATGTTTGATACTCTCTGGACTGGGTGTCTTGTGGACCTAGAGCTTATGTGTTTAGTGGGCATCTTTATGCAGCTTGAGTGTGGCAGGACCCCTCACTGAGATTAGAGAACCCTGACAAAATACATAGTGGCCAGAAAAAAAAATGAGGGGAAAAAAAGGATATCAGGCAATAAAACATGTCCAAATCCTCCAGGAAATGTGGCTTTTCATGACAACCATGTAGCATTTCCCTTTGTTTTCATTTTTATATATTCACTCTCCTAAACTGATAGTTGTGGAAGGATTGCCTTGACGAGAGAAGAGAGTTGATTTTTTTCCTACTTGCTTGAAAAGCCAGACCTGCAAACAACGGTTAGAGTTAAAGGAAAACAGAATTTCTTTCTTGGTATAATGAAGAACTTCCTAACAGCTAGTGTGTTTGGGCAGTGAAATGGACTTTTTGCAGGAGGATGAGTTCTCCGTAGCAGTCATTAAATACCCAGAGAGCTACAAAGAAGTGCTATCCACCGTGCGAGTGCGTGAACTATTGTCGTTGCAACAAGATAAGGATCTTGCACCAGAAAGTAAATCAGCTATGTTACTAAGCAACTATGTTACTAAGCATACTAAGCTGACATGCTTTTCATAACAAGACTTTCTGAGTGAATGAAGTAGGATGTTGATTTACATTCTTGTGTGCAATCTGCCAACTACACTGTGTAGCACTCCTGTGATTAGGCTGTAATTAGGCAGCATAACATTTCCTTCCATTCCTGAAACTCTGAGTCTAAAACCCAAGACTCTTGGCAGAAACCGGTATGGGCCCTTCTTGGCAGAAACTGGTATGGGCCCTTCTTTGTTTTACATCTGATGTGTGACTGTAGAAAGCCCGCTTGCTTGCAGAGAATTGGGTTTAGACTTCCAGGGCTCTTGACTCAGCTTGCTATGGTAACCTTCCTGACACATCCATCTCCTGCCTCTTCCCTTTCCAGTGGTGTATGGCAGGCAAATGCATCACAGTGGGGAAGAAACCAGAGAGCATTCCTGGAGGCTGGGGCCGCTGGTCACCCTGGTCCCACTGTTCCAGGACCTGTGGGGCTGGAGTCCAGAATGCAGAGAGGCTGTGCAACAACCCTGAGTAAGTCCAGATAAATAGATTTCCCTTCCCTCCACACGTGCTTGATAGGGCAATCTTGAATGGCACGACCTCAGTGATCCCAAGCCCCTCAAGGGAAATTAAATGGGTTCCCCAAGACAAAAAGAAACAAGAAGATTCACAGAGAGTAGGAAAAAATGTTGGTTCTGTTTTGTTTTGTTTCATTACGGCTTGGCACTGGATTCTTAGTAAATCTTGAATAAGTAAGCTGATCTTATCATTTGGGGAAATAAGCAAATTTATTTTAAGTGTGTAATATATGTGAAAGCCTCTAGGAGATTATGCAAGTAAATCTTTTTAAATAACTCCACTTTATCAGTAAGAGATTAGTGAAACCCAATTTGGCTGATAAAATTATAGCTTGCTTTCACTTATAATAAATATATAATTTTATGAATATTTCTTTCCTTAAGCAACTAGTAAAATAGGTACATTTTTTAGAATAATTATTTTTAGTATTTTTAGACAAGGATTTTTATAAACCCTAAAGTTCCTAGTAGCCTGTTAAAGATTCTGTAAATGCTATTTTATAAAGACTTTCAATTCTTTAAGCAAATTGCTCAATTTTTCACATATTGTATTTGTATGACTATTATATATGAGGTAAATTTAAACTTGCTTGTTTTTCAAATACACATTACATTCTTAATTTCATTATTTCTGATGTACTGTTTCCTAAGTAATTTCTTAAAAGTGTATATGTGATGCCTTCTTTAAGTGGAAATTAATAGTGTTTCGTTGAGTTAGATTTACATTCATCTACGTCGAAGAGCAAGTCACATTTTTTAAAAGGCGAGCGATAAAAGTGATTTTATCCTTCAGTATCTCAGTTCCAAAGATTATTTCTCTTTTTTGTTAATAACTGTATTATCTAGATGTATAGTATTTATATATGTATTATATATACATGTATATATAATACATATATAATACATATATACACTATAATATATTTTTTCTAAGGGTTAATAAATTAGTACATGTAAAGAATTTAACACAGTACCTACTACACAATAAAGTATCAATAAATGGTAGTTATTATATCTTTATCATTTACCACACTTATAAGCATGCATTTGGAAATTCTTCACAAAATTATTTAAAAATTTTGCCCTTTGATAAAAGTTGTTTTCATTTAAATATAGAGTTTCTGTGACTTCCAAAATGCAAAACCAAGCGTTTCTCATAGAATACTTTATTTTTAGAGAAATTGTCATTTAATAGTTTGTTTCACTCTAATCTAGAAATGTGATTTCCGTTTTCATTTGAGCAATCAGAAAAGAAAGGCAATTTGCTCTGGGACTCATTATCAATGCTGTATATTCTGCCACCACCAGTGTATAACCTTCTTAGGAGGCTGGTCAGTGACCTGTGATTATCAGAGAAGGGAACTGCTAGTTGAGGAATTGAAGGATGAATCTCTAATTTGGCTTCAGGAGAAAGTTCTAATTCTCATCTCCAAGGCCACGGTTTGTCATAGAGTCTCCTTGGGTGAATGGACATGCCTGTTCTTCGTTGCTGGTTTGCTGAAATTCATTAGAACACTGTCAGTGAAACTAAGTCATAGATTTGGATCTGTGATTCAAGTCACAGATTCAGGCCACTGCATGAGCCAGCTGACTTCTGGACTGCATCTTTGCTGTAGGTCAACTGTCTAGTGAGAACCCAGCAGAGTTTGGCTCATAAGAGACTGTCAGTGATACTGGTTGGATGGAAATGAATTGGAGAGATATCAAATCATAGAGTGTCACTTCATCATCCTAACATTAAATATCATGGGCAATTCTTGGTACCTCCTACAGGGGGTCAACAAATGAGGAGCCTACTATGCGAACCGCCTTGGTCAAAGCTGTTTCACTCTTTCATGAGTGTGGAACAGAAGCTTACTCAGGCCACATTGAGGGAGGGGAGGTATAGAAAATCTCATGGGCATTCAAGGAGAACAAAGTACAGCAGAACCAACAAGAATGACAGCTGCAACCAGAACTTGACAAGAACGCCAGGATTTGAGGACTTGGTCTCTGAGGATTCTGCGGTCAGGCGGTGTAACACAGTGGATGAGAGCTCAGGCTTTGGATCACGGAAGGTGACATTTCCAATTTGGCTCTGCCACTACCACTGGTGTACTCTTGGGAGATGTTCTGGCTTTCTGTGTGTCTGGAATATTATTTCATCTGGACTGCTCACTGGACATGCCTTCTGCCTTTGCACCGAGAAGCCACTTTCCAGCCATCCTTCAGGACCATTCTCCAGGACAAGCCCTTCTGTAAATCCTTCTCAACTAGCCTCATTTCTGTGGCTTTCTCCCTTCACAAAACTCTCATTATACTTTCAGTCTGGGATACATAGTTGCTGTCTTAAATTTTCTCTCATTTCTTATATAGGTTACTTTTTTCTCCTCAACTAAATTGTTAAGTTCTAGGAAGCATAGAGCATGGCTTAACCTCCATTTGCACTCTCTTCTCCATGGACATGGTGTTGAGCACATGACAGCATATAAATACCAGTTGATTATTATTCACAATAACCAAAAATAAAAAGCTATCAGTTATTGAGCTCTTATTCTGTGTTAGCTACCCTACTAAATCTGTATGTGTATTGTCTCATGCAGTACTCACAACTTGTGAGATAAAAACTATTATGCTCATTTTATAAATGAAAAAAAAAAAAAAAAACCTGAGGCTCAGAGAAACAAGGTAACTTGTTCAGATTCATCTAACAAAAAGGTGATGCCAAGTTCAAACTCCAGGCTATTGGCACTCCTGCAACAGGAGGAGGCATAGTCCCTGATTCAGATACTGCGGCAAGATGGAGACCAGAAAGCATGCCTGGGAACCTCTCAAAGGATACTTAGTCTCATCACCTCTCTGAGAGCTGTGAATGCTGTTTCTCATTTTGAGTGATCCATTCTTCCTGATAGGAAGGTTGCTACACCCTCAAGTGTATCACAAAGGAAAGAAAAATCAAAGAGTGATTTTTCTAAAATAAGATTAACTTATTCACTCATTGGATATTTGTTAAGTGCCAGAGTACTCTTAGGCACCACGGAGGACACAGAGCTTGGATGGTGCCATCAAAGAACTATCTTTGGCAATAATAAGTTTAGGACATTCAGGCAGCTGGTACACCAAATGTCATTTAAGAGGAGAAAAAAATTACTTCTGGTGGAAATCCAGGTAGGATTCATGATGGAAGTAGCATTTATTTGGTTCTTCAAACATGGGCAGTATGTAGACATATGGAGACTTTAAGGGAGGAAAAAAATTCTATCCAACGGTACAGAAAAGAAATATTATTTCAGGCAGTTGGCACCACTGGAACAGTGTAAGATGAAACAGAATGTTGGAAGTAAATTGTTAAGGTGAGCTAAGGCAGGATTTTGAGGGCTTTGAATGCCAAGCTCGAGAGGCTGGCTGATGTGACCACTGGATGCCATTACAGATTTTAAAACAGTAAACTAAAATAACAAGGTAATCTGAAAATCTTAACCTGATAATGGGGTGTACTGTGAGTTTAATTTTAAAAGTGGGCGGGGGGGATAGGAATGGAGATAAGAATTGGACTGGTTTGATTATTGCAGAGTTGAGGAGGAAGAAACAAATGTAAATATACAACTGATGACCAGGAAACTGATTGACTGTGGGATTCAAGGAAGGCAAAGATGGATGATTCTGAAATCTGACCACTTTTAACTCACCAGATATGAATCAGGGAAGAAGCTTATTTGAAAAAAAAAAAAAAAAAAAAAAGATGTACCCTTTTTCAGCTCACCTGGAGGATATACAGGTGGAAATGGTATACAAACTATTTCAAAATAAGCAAGGACTGAAATGTTGGCAGGCAAGGAAAAAATATCTAAAATATGATTTATTTAAAGGGTAAGTTTCGAGGGCATAGAGAGACATCGTTTGTCAAGGCCAGATACAAGGGAAGTTTTAAATTAAAATGTTGGCCTTTAAGCATACTAAAAGAATAGCTTGTCTATTTCATTTGTAGACCAAAGTTTGGAGGGAAATATTGCACTGGAGAAAGAAAACGCTATCGCTTGTGCAACGTCCACCCCTGTCGCTCAGATACACCAACATTTCGGCAGATGCAGTGCAGTGAATTTGACACCGTACCCTACAAGAATGAATTCTACCACTGGTTTCCGATTTTTAACCCAGGTAAGGAGCTGTAATAGTGTATCTCAGATACAGGGAACAGCCGTTCTCAAACCCTTTGTATGTCGGTCAGGGTTTCTATGATATAAAAAGTTTAACAAAGAAAACTTTACCACCAGGAATTTTGTAATTTAGAAGATGGAAACGCCGACCTGGTTAAGTTGATCAGTAAATGCTGAAGGCTGAATACATTCAACTCTGTCTGAGCTTTGTGGGAGATAAAAGAAGTTTATAAAACATGGTGACTCACTTCAAAACTGCTGAGGTGCAACTGAGCAATTAATGGGGCATGGAGGAATTCAATAACTAATTGCTTGTTGATGGGCATGAGGAACTGATGGTGATTTATTCAGAAATTCAGAAGACAAGGTCATTGTGGGTATGGACTAATTGCAAAAAAAAAAAAAAAAAGCCTTCCAGTGAAGCACTTGATGATTCTTAAGACTGCTCATGCTTTCATGAGCAGTCTTTCCACCAGAAGAAAGAAAAGGGAAGGCATTCAAAATAGACTTATTTCAAGTAGTAGTAGAATAACAGGAGGAAAGGCGAGATAATAGAAATGAATGAACAGGAGCCAGCTCTGGGCCAGAAATTAGCATTTTGCATGTACAGGAGTGCGAGGAGGGTAAAAGTAAAATCAAACATCTCAATGTTGCAAGTCAAGGATGGGGACATAATGGAGTTGGAGAATGGAATAGCAGCCTTGGCAAAACTTCCAGAGTAAGTTACACATTCTCTCCTTAAAATGAAGAGGAATCAATGACCATCAGCTAGGAATCAACATCAAATAACATTTGGTGTTGTTTGTTGTTACCTGATTAGGAAATGAAGCAGAAAAGATTTTCCTAAGCCAAAGAAATTTAAGGCAAGATAGTAAAGAATAACTAATCAATTTTTTCGTGATTTTTCAGTCCCAGAAAATCCAGTATGACAAGACACAAGAAAAATCATAGACTTGAGGATCTTGTATTTTGGCTGTTGGAACAATGACTTGTGCAATAGCTTTCGAAGGAAAGACTGCAGTGCTCTGCTCAGCTCAGGTCTCCAAGATACCTCAATGGTTCTGGGTTATCAAGGACAGCAATTGATTGCCCTTAATTGTTCAGTGTTATTTATGCTCTAGAGGAGAAAACCATTACAGTTATTGATGCAATTTAGCTTCTGGAGTCAGGCATTTGAATTCAGGAAAACTCATGCATATACCCAGGTATACTCCAAAACTAACAAGTGACAAAAGGTACATCCAGTCAGTGCTATCTATATGTAAATCCTGCACATTTTCTATTTTGTTAAAACTATTCGGGTCAGTGGTCCTGTCAACTCTGAATGAGCAGCCTGTCAGAGCTAAGAGAGCATAGCTGCTCCAGCTGTATCACATGTGCTTAGTATGGGATCCCCCTGTAATCCAACCAGACATATAGTTGGATTTGTGTGTATCTAACTCTGATGGCTCAAGCAGCTGGACTTGGAATAAAAAGACTCGATTCAGCTTTGCTTTTCATTTGTTTTCAGGCATTCATCATGTGCCTACTTTTTGACTAGCATAGCAATAGGGTACTAAAGAAGTGAGAGTTATACAAGTAGACATCAATTCCACTCACTCTAGAGTGATTGATTTGCGGCTCTAACTCAAATGAAGTTTGCCACCGCTGACCTTACTCCCTACCCGATCAATCAGCATTGATCCTCTATCCAGGCAGTTTCTTTACAGACTCCTAGGCTATTATTTGGTCATTAGCAGATAATGACTCACCTGCTAACCTCAATAGCTACTACCTTGAACAGCACACTGATTACTTTTCCCATTATGCTCTGTCTACAGAGTTGCTATTTGCTTAGTTAACAGCATCCCTGGCAGTAGGTCGTTCATGTCAACAAGGATGGATGGAGCATTTTTTCTGTGCCAAATATTGAGTGCCTTACAGCCTCCCAGGCATCCTTTTAGAAATCATCAGAAGATGAAATAAATGTACAGCAGAGTTTTCTTCCTCCTCAGTGGACAGTGATACTTCCCAAAACACTTTATACACTTTCTCTAATTTTATCTCCGCAAGAAAATCCTTCAAGGAAAGCTATTTTTGACCCAATTTTTAGAGATGAGCTAATAGGTTCAGAGGTCCTACGTAACTTGCCCAAACTCAGACTATAGGATAGAACCAAGAGTTAGTCCAGGCCTGACTCTGCAGCCTGATCGTTAAGCACGAAAACAAACAGGGGCTGGGTGAAGTTCATTTCCTTATTATCAGTGTACCGACTTTTGAATTTTCACTAAGGCAATGCTCATGTCTCTAAAACCTTCCATTGTTTCATAAGCCAGGAGCTCTGGTGGAAAACCTAACCACCCTTTGTAGTATGATTAAGGCTCAATTTATTAAACCTATAAATCTTACCCTTGAAAACCAGTGTTTTCTAAACATTTAAGCATTGATGACTAATTATTACATTGCTTAAATAATTAAAGTTGTGATTCAAAGTTTACTTCTTAGGCATCTTAACCAAAAAGACAGAACTTAAAACTACACAGTAAATAGAAAACTCGTTACTTCACTTAGCCTAATCTAAAATGTCAACACAGCCAGGCATAGTGGTACACACCTGTAATCCTACCTAGTCATAGGCTGAGGTGAGAGGATTTCTTCAGTGCAGAAGTTCAAGGCCGTAGTGACCTATGAAGACCCTGCCTCTACAGAAAAATAAAAATAAAACATCAATGAAAAGGGTTTAATTTATTTTTTAAAATTATTTCTACTTTTGTTTTTATACCTGTCTGTGGTTACTATAGAATATGCTCATTTTAATGCCTTCTTATATTTCACTAATACATATTTCTATGTATTGTGGGGATTACAATAGCATTACCATATTAGAAAGTACAAGAATACCATTTTAGACTAGCCAAAGAGTTCAGACTCTTGGTAATTACTTGACTGATTTAGGGCTGTGATACAGAGTCAGAAGTTTTCATTTTTGCTTTGTCCCTCAAGCTGATTTGATTTTAGTTATTAAGCTGAGCTTCCTTTTTAAGTTAAACATAACTCCTTGCATCATCAAAATATTTTAAGTTACACCTTTTGCTTTGAAATTTAGCATTTCTTGGGATCTGTTGAGGAGCGGCAGGGGTGCACACCACAGATCCCTTCTCTTCGTGTGCTCACTGCCTTCCCCTGTTGGTCTTCCCTTACCGAACACAAGTTCGAAGGTAAAATGATTAAGAATTTCAAGACAGAGATGAAGGCATTCAAGCAAGTGTGAGGTCCTGGACGAAAGCACAGGTGTTATGCCCACGAATCCCTGCATGTGAATGGAGTTTAGAAACTGGATTCTTTGAAATGATAAACTCACATTCCAGTCTATTCACAAAACATGAAATGCATCAAAACTTTTCCTTGCCTAAGAAATATTTTTGTCCTTCTTAGCCAGTTAGAGCTTTCATTTCTATCATTTATGAAGATCATTATCCAAAATGTTGAGCCATCCTGTTTCCGCAAAATTGAAAATGCAAACTTTGATTCAGTAAGTTCACCTCTTTTCTTAAGCTCCTTTGAGAGGATTAATCAGACAGTGGGAGGGTAAAAGTTCAGGGTAAATTAGTTTTAGAGCTTTCACTTAGCTGAATTATAAATGGACTTGAAAGCTAGAGGGGAAAAAATTACATGACCCTACAAAAGGATGTGTCAAGGCAGGTGAATAAATGTGAGACAAGGAAAGTACTCAACTCTATAGGGATGATAGACTTAACAAGGTTGATGACTGGCACAGAGAATCTGACACCCGTGATGACTCCTGAGAATTAAGACCATCCATTACCACCCTTGCCTCATCCTGCAGATCCCTGTATCACAGGACAACTTAATGACATAACCAGAGCCCTTCCAGAGCACTGTGAAAGACAACAGCCAGAGAAGGAGGGGACAGAGAAGGAGGACCTCAGGCTCAGCCTTATAAAAGGCTTGAATAGCACTGAACCTTCCATTTAAAATGGCTGCTTTCAAACATGGTGTTCTCCCTGGCCTGAGGCATGCCTATAGGTCATGGTGTTGGGAGCTCTGGGAGAATCACAGCAGAGGATCTGTGCTGTCATTGTCATTGTCACAAATGTTATTTACTAGATAATTTCTAAGACTAAGTAAACCACTATCCTTATAGTCAACACACATGTGTGTTTCTTGTGGGCAGTATACTTCAGTTAACCTGTCTAACCCTGAAGGATGTACTAGTCCTGTGTTGTGGAAACAGGGTGGAGGGAAGTTTTGAAATTAGGTCCTCTCTTCATGGAGATGTGTCATGATTATTGCTGAGGAAAGGAGATTTTTCCAGTTTTCCTGGTTTGAGAACCAAGACTTATTATTATTAAAAGGAATATATGTGTCTTATAAAAATGCAAGTGCACATAATAGAATGAAACAAAAATAAATTCTTATCCCACTGCATTTAATGTATTCCTGCAAGATAACCATGCTAACGGCAGGTCTTCATTTGCACACAAATAGAACCATAATTTGCCAATTCTACAGCTTGATTCATTGAGTAGATCATAGCATCACGGTTTACCTCACTCCTTTTAGTGACCTGCATAGCATTCCATTATGTCAATGCAACTTAGTGAATCTGTCCATTACTCTGTGAATAAATATTCCATTGCCACAATGAACATGCTCCCGTCCCAACTGTTCCCAGCAGCCTTGAAACAGATGATGTCCTACAAAAGCTCCAGAATTATTCAAAGCTGCTTTCTGTTTTTGCTTCATGTATTCCAAATACAAAATCCCAACTCCAATTCTAAAGCTTAAACCAAAGTCTTAATAAAATAATCCTTGGATTCAGCACCTGGCTTGATGTTCTCATCCCTGGGAAAACAGAATTATTCCCAGGTTGCTCCCTCTAGTACTTATATTCCAGTTTGGGCAGTAACAGAGCTAATAATGCTGCCAGAAATGGAGATACACAATAATCCCAAGTCATGCTTTGTCCCAGGGTCTTGACACTTTTCCACTGGCACTTTGTCCAGTGATCTATTCAACTCATTTTGACCCTGTCTATCTTGTCAGACAGCTTATCCACTGCACCTTATATGAAATCAGTTAGTTTTCTTTATTTGTGTATTTCCATTTACCTTTCTCTTTGAAGCTTTTTTTTTTATTTGGGGGAACATGTACTTGTTAGAGTGTACCCATTACCCAAATATTGAACACTACCCAATAGGTCATTTTTCAACCCTCACCCTCCTTCCACCCTCCTTGATTTTGGAGTCCCCAGAGTCTATCTCCATCTTTATGTCTATGTATATCCAATGTTTAGCTCTTACTTAAAAGTGAGAGCATGTGATATCTAATTTTCTCCTTCGGAGCTGGTTCACTTATCCCTTTAAAGCTTTAAACAGATATTTTTGACCTCAGTCTCAAGTTTATTCAGAGTTTCAGCATTCAGAGCTTTTGCTCATTGTTATATTTGTGTGAGTTTTGCATTTTCATTTCCTGGCCACATGGATCATTGCATCCTCAAGCAGACACAGCTATCACTGTGCACTCAGGCTTGGCATTTGGTGCACATTCCAGTGGGGTGGGCCCATGATGAATAGCCTTATGGCTGTTACCATTGAGTCCTCAGCTGATCACATGATGAAGCAACTAACAGCCCTGCCCATACTAAATACATCTGGAAGAGACCCCGAAATCCCTTCTGAAGAAGACATTATTGTGTTTCTCATTTAAAGAAAAACATTCATTACATTCACAAGAAAATTATTACTTGAATTCTTCTTATCATATACCTATATTAGCTATTAAAAATTTTAAGGCAACCTGTGATTTGAGAGTTACCTATCTTTCTGGTTATTCTGTGTACACACATATGGGTGTGTATTTTATTAAGTAAATGTTCCTGTGCTCTAGATCATCCTGTCTTCATTCACAATGAAGTAGAAAACTGAACCTTAGACTCGATTCAGTGTAGGACCCAAGATGATGGGATGGATCACTATGATAAGCAGGTTGGCTTCAGCTTCAACAAAAAATGTTTCTACATGGTTGTTAATCTAAGCACCTCTTAGACTGGAGGAGGACATTTGTTGGGGCAGGGTTATGCTGGTGGTGATGGAGGTTGTGGTAGTAATGAGCTGGCCCTATGGGAGAGGATGCCTGTCCTCTGCCGGCTACTTACTTTGCTGCAAGAAAGGAGCAGGCATCCTGCTTGCCTGAAGTCCTGCATGGCTGGTTGCAATAACTTATTTTCTAAGCTAACCCCAGATGCCCAGTGCCTTATTTTTATAAGCACAATTTGATGTTGAATAGAAAAGAGTCATCATTTACAGCAAAGAACAGAACATTTTAAAGCAATCTTTTCATTTAATTCATTATAAAACTTTTATTGAAAATGGAAAAATCCCATACTTCAGCATGTGTCTCAAGAAAGTAAAAAGATGAGATCACTAGATTAAATAACACTTGGGGGTCATAAATATAGAGGAATCCTGGGTGGGGGAGGCCGAGCTAAAAAGCTAACTTGCAAAGATTTGCCTTCTTTTTTTTCCTTCAGCACATCCTTGTGAGCTCTACTGCCGACCCATAGATGGCAAGTTTTCTGAGAAAATGCTGGATGCTGTCATTGATGGTACCCCTTGCTTTGAAGGCGGCAACAGCAGAAATGTCTGTATTAATGGCATATGTAAGGTATTGGGTATGTTTCCTTAATCTACAACTTTTCAAAATCATGATTTTTATTAATTTGGGAAGTCAGATGTTCTAAGTTTGTGCTTTCACAGCATTTACACCTCATATCTTTTTTTACATATAGTTTATGAAACAAAAAACCAAGACTTCTCAGTGTTCATCAAAGTCAGTTTTTAGATTAGTTTTTTCCTTCTGCTGTCATCTTTATTTCTTGATTAGTTGCTGTGCATTATGATATTATTTTAGACACTGAGCAGAAAAAGAAAAATTATCAGGCAAAGCCAGCCCAGATTATTTCAGTGGCATTAAATTTGAGAAAAACTGAAATTAATAATAGTTTATATGGTAATTTTCATAAAGCATTTTCACATTTAATTCTCCATTGAGTATCAACATGAGCTTCCTAGAGAGATGGCATGACAGCAGTTAGAAAACAGGCTTCTGGCCGGGCGCGGTGGCTCAAGCCTGTAATCCCAGCACTTTGGGAGGCCGAGGCGGGTGGATCACGAGGTCGAGAGATCGAGACCATCCCGGTCAACATGGTGAAACCCCGTCTCTACTAAAAATACAAAAAATTAGCTGGGCATGGTGGCGCGTGCCTGTAATCCCAGCTACTCTGGAGGCTGAGGCAGGAGAATTGCTTGAACCCAGGAGGCGGAGGTTGCGGTGAGCCGAGATCGCGCCATTGCACTCCAGCCTGGGTAACAAGAGCAAAAACTCCGTCTCAAAAAAAAAAAAAAAAAAGAAAAAGAAAACAGGCTTCTGATTTCTATGTAATTTTTCCACACTCACTTCATTAGACCTGATGTGTTAGTGCTTTTAAGTATGTAACCATTAGAGAATTCCTTCTCGTTGCTTGCATTTTATTTTACAAGGAACTGAGGAGCAGGATTTCTGATCCAATGACCAAGCATAAATCTCAGTTTAAAGAGAAAGTGTTTTTAATCCCTTAAAGGAAGATGTTTTAATCAGTTAGTAAATCATAATGGTTTAGCACTGAGTTTTAGAATATGAACTCAATACCATCATTTACTAGCTGTATGATCCTATACGTCTTTCTAAGACTCAGTTTTCTATCATAAAATTTGGATACTTTTATGTATCTACCTAGCTGGAGTTGTCAAAAATTTATTTAATCTTAGGTCTGCTAATCTAAATAACAGAGAGAGGTTCTCCAAAAGAAAATGAAGCTTATTTGGAAGTAGTGCATTGTGATAGGAATATGTATACCATAATTAATCATGTGCATACTTAGGAAGGTGAAGGAAGACAAAGGTTTTTAATAGAAAATGAAAATTTTTAAAGAAAAAAGTTAGGATTGCAAAATTGTTTTTAAATAATTATTATTTTCTACAGAGATCAATAACAAGGGTGACACCAATCCAAGGTTGCTCAGGAAGTTGCTGGGCAAATGTCATTGCAAAAGTATTTTTTTGTGTAAGGTTACAATAGCCTTTGTGCAAGGGTGTGGTTTTTGCAGAGCCTTCTACATTATCAGGCATAAAAAGGTGAGAACTCATTCTTCCTATCCTTCCCTGGCTACGTTTACATTTTTTTCTTAACATTAGTTGCTCCATTTTGATTCTGACAACTTTCACTGGTCATATATGTTAAGCCCTTAACAGAGGCCCCAGTGTAAAATAAACTCTCAGAAAACAGATTTGTAAACTCAGCAAATTTTGTTTTTAAAAAAGTATTTATGATAATTTTTTTCCACTGGACAAAATAGTTCCCTGTGACAGTCTCTTACCCCTAAATATTCAGCACACTTGAGAAGGTGCATATTTCCCTTAGTGGTTGCGTTTTCATTTATTTTTTCAAAGCACCTGTTTTCCATCACAGGCTAAAGATTCTGTTTCTATGAATGCAAAGCTGTTTAGATCTCAAAGATAACTTCAACATCACATTTACTCCTTAGTGACTGAAGTCCTCAGAACTAGCTGCATATAAGAATCACCTGGGGAGATTTTAAAACATCAATACCCAGACCACACATCCCAGAGATTCTGAATTAATAGATTTGAAATGGACCCCAGACATCAGTAATTTCTAAAAGCTCTCCAGGCCATTCTAATAAGTAGCCAGGATTGAGAACCATTATAAATTGGTTGTCTTACTTGAAGCCAATCAAATGAGCCTAATAGTACAGCTCTGCCCTAAGTATCTTGACACTTTAAGTTTCATTGTCTGGAAACGAACCAGACATTCTCCTAGTCTCTACCTTCGCCAAGAACTTTAGAAAGAAATGATCATATTCAGGTGGATTAGATCAGTTAACATTTTAGTTCTTAGTAACTTAAAAATCTGCAAAGTAAAATCATATTAATGTCTCATTAAAAAAAATGAGAACTGATAGGGCTATCTCTTACTTATTCACTCAAGGAGGGCTAAGTGCCTAGAGAAAGGCAAGGACCTGGTTTCCCTAAGTCATTCTCCAGGTAGCATGCTCATCAGTGCAATTGTCTCGGGGTCAAGAATTGATGATAAGATGGGAAATGACAGCGATTTTTTTTTTCACAAACACACTACACTACCTGTTGGGGTGATTGCCTGGCCTCTTCAGAGTCACATCAGAGAAGGGTCATGCTGAAGTCTTTTTCCACATTGGGTGGCAGCAGTGGAGCCACCTCTGATTCTGCTGAAGGCAGAAGAGCGTGCTGTTGTGGGCTTTCCATGTTGCCGGAGCATGTGTGATGAAGGAGGGGAGTGAAGTTTGTTTCCTTTCCCCTGAGAGCCCCTTATGTTTTATATGCAATGAAAGGACTGGTTCATGTCTTCACAGACCTTCTGTTGTATACTTAATTCAGTTTTTATGGTACTGCATGCAGCTCACAGGAAAACTAAATTGGGTGAGTCTCTGAAAGAACCCATTTAATATGCTGTGGGACATGGGTGTGTCTCCTTCCCCCCACCCTTGTCTTTCCATTATGCAGGCAAATATTACTTTAGAAATATTACCACCCATTCAAGAAGAAAGACTTGGGCTTCAGATATTTGCTTTTCTGACTTTATTTCCTTTATTCTTCACATTTTTTCTATTTGTTTCCCTGCTGGTAAAGATTAAAGAAAATACTTTAAAATTAATAAACCTCAGAGTCAATTTTACTAGCTCATTCCAAATCAGTGAAGGAATGAAGGCCACTGGAAATACGGTTGTGAAGGTCAGATTATTAGAGGGTGCTCAAGCTGGACGCAAACGTGTTGTTTGTGAAGGGCTGACATTTTACTCGTAGTCACTGAAGGCACCTGTTTTGTGCATTGCTTTTTTTCCCATTGATATTAGCATAATTAAGTTTTGTTTCTTTAAAAAAAAAAAAATCTCTTAGCACTTTTTTTGTTTCCCCTACTGGGTCAAGCAGCACAGTCTTTGGACCTAAAGGAAATTAAAGACAGTTAACCTAAAGAAGGAAGCTATTTTCAATTAGTGGGCATTCATTCTCTGCTTATCTGGTATAGGGTGTATTTAAAGACTCAGAATAAGCCTGGTGTGGTACCTGCAGTCCCAGCAAGTCAGAAGGTGAGGTGGGAGGCCAGGAGTTCAAGGCTGTTGACTGGGAATAACTACTGCACTCCAGCCTGGGCAAAATAGCAAGTTCCCATCTCTCTAAAAACAGATTCAAACCATTTTTACTTTAAATAGATTTGAGGTGGCTCTCCAGTTAGAAAGAAAATGATCTTTAAAGATCAAAAAGGAAATAAAACTATCTGGGCACAATTCTTCCCAAACAAGAAAGAAAATCACAAAAGGAATATGGTATCGTTTTCCCTTGTGGTCATGGAAGAAAGCAAGCAACAGAAAAGTCCAGGCGAAGGGCAGATATGGTTCATGACTTTCAATCTAAGTGTCATGATTCTTTGGTATCCACTCCTACAGAACACCCACGCTTCATGGCTCTCCTTTTCCAGGATGAGAACACATCTGAAAGAGACTTGCTGCTCTATCAACTTCAATTCCAAGATGTTTCCAAGATGATTTTTGGAACATTTTCTTAGATTTCGCTCAGTTCTGCCTCTGACTCAGGAAATTAGACCTCACTCAATGTGTGCCTCCCTCCCCTCTGAGCAAGTAGTCCCTCTACCATTGGTGGATGCTTGAATATTCCTCTTGCTGCCACCAGGAACAGACATTTGTCCTTGTGCTCTGGTACCTCCTGCCCAGTCTTATAAAGCACCAAGGGGGAAAGGAGAAGTCACAGATCCAGGCAAGAGTGGCCTCTCCTGCCTCAGCATTTATCCTCCACCTCTCTTCCCCACAGATTGTTGGCTGTGACTATGAGATCGATTCCAATGCCACAGAGGATCGCTGCGGTGTGTGCCTGGGAGATGGCTCTTCTTGCCAAACTGTGAGAAAGATGTTTAAGCAGAAGGAAGGATCAGGTAATAAACAAATAAATAATTGAAGTGATGGGATCCAAAGTTGCAGGACAGGGGGAGCAAGATAAATGTTTGATTGATTCCTAGTTTTTGTTTTTATTTGTTTTAAAAAAGCCTGTGACTTACAAGGTATTCAAAATGGAATGTAGCCTTTACCACAAAGGAGTAAGTGCTCCTTGGCAGTTTTAGGGAAGGAGTTGATTGCTGAGAAAATACAGGATGCATCACGGTGAGAGAGAGAACTGAAATGGCCTGTGGCTGTGCACAGCAAGAGGTGTAAGAGCGTGATCCCAGGGAGAGGATCCCCTCTGCGAACAGGCATCACAAGAGGATCCAGCACTAAAGCCAATGGTATTAAAGCCAATGGCATTGGAACAGACCAAGAACTAAGAGAGAGAAGAGATCAAAAGCTAGCTGAGAAGGCTGCAGACACAAGGACAGATTCTGTAGTGAGGACACAGAAGCGAGCAATGGGTTGACAAGGAAAAGAATTGGGGTACATCTTTAAGTCAAAGTCAAAAGAGAAGCAAGGGAGGGTTACATCAAATCTCTTTTATTCTCAGTTGCTCCCAAATGGGAGAGGGTCCCACCCACTGCTCCCTTATGACCTTCCAGACAGCTCCTCCATCTAGCATCCCCTTCTTACCCACACTCTACTATTCTCCTCCCATAGTCACCTTCTGCAGAGTTTCTTCTCTGCACAGCTTTGGGCTATAGATATTCCTCAGGGCAGGAAGAGTCCACCTTGAAGGGTGGACCCCAAGGAAGAGTCAGTTCCCAAGGAAGGCAGCTAAGAAAGGGTCAACCGTATCATGGGAGCCATGGCAGAGCTTGCACCTCTGAGTCTCTCCCGCCTGAGGGATGAGGACATTGAGATAATATACACCACTTTCCACCAGTCCTGGGTTGAGGTTACTCTTGAGCGATCACACTGTTAATTCTCTGGATTCCATAGAAATGCTGGCAGTAGGGAATCCATCATGCACTATTGCAGTCATGCCTGAGGGGAGAGGGGCAGTGTGTGCTACACGGGGAGATGCCCAGGACAGGAAGTGATAACCACTTTCAGAGATGGTAAAAATGTTTTCCTGGATCCTAGAAAAACAACATCTCTCTCCTAGATATGCTTCCTACCCAGGATGCAGTTACTAAGTAGGACCCTGAGAGTGTCAGGTGTGTCCTTCAGTTGTTCCCTAGTAATCATAATAGCAAACAATCTAAATTTAATTTCCATCCTTATTTTTTCATCTTTGACTATTGGATTACTAAGGTTAAATTGTGAAATGTAATGCTTGTCCTGCTCGTTAGAATTATCACTGGAAGATTGTATTTCACGTCTTTGATCGATAGCTTTATGATGGATTAAAAATATTCTCTGGATTACTTATTAGGAATGTGAATAATAACCCAGTATGTCTTAAGCTTATGATTAAACACCCCGTGATAGCCAATGTTTTTATAACCTTTACAAAGGTGTTTTGTAAATATATTTCATGATTTAGATGTGGCTTTATTTAATTGACTTACAAAAAGTTACACTTAAAATTTCAACCTGCTTTATTTAATTTTTGTTATCTAATTTTATCTTGGCATCTGATGTGCTGTTTTTATAATATAAAGATAACTCAATTGAAAACCAGATTTGTTGTCCCAAGGTTCCACTTAACCTTTTAATCCCTTAGGAAATCCAACACTAATTCTGGGTTCTTTCCACTGCCCTGGTCTCTTAGGAATGAGAAAATGGGTTATAAAAGTCTTCTCCTCCCCTCTCACCTTCACCCCTGCCTCCAAGATCTCAGGAGCTCTGGCCACATGTCCACCACTGAGCACTGGACACCTCCCTGTGCCTTTGCGCTTTCAGTTCCCTTTCTCCCATGTCCCTCCTGGACAATTCCTTTCCACCGGCTTCTAACAGGAGGGCTATGATTGCTCACAGTGTGTTACAAGGTTCCAATTTCCTCACCACCCTCTTTTGAGATAACTGAGACTGAGTCTAAATCTAAGGCAAGGCAGTTCAGCCTCTCAAAACATCTACCAGGTACTGTTATTTTTATATATTTCTTCCTCACTCTGTGGTTTGTGAGCCTGTCAAACACTGGTTTGCATCTGGACCAGACATCTCTGTGTCACTGCTCTCAAGCCTGAGAACAGACATGGACCAGCCTTTCCCAGGAGCCTCCACACATAAATTGTGAGATATTGGCCTGCAGTGAGCATTGTCTCAAACGAACAGCATAAACCTTTAAAAAGACAAGCTGGTCATTGTAGATAAATCACCCAGGGTTAATGGTATAACCTCTTTATGAGCACATTTTTATTAGAAATGTCAAAGACTGGAGACCAAATGTGATAGTGAGTAAAGTCCATTTTTGTAGACCACAAAGAACAGTTGGAAAAGATGTGTGTTAGCACCAACAATGTGTGATGTATCTTATCACATTGTCTCAGAAATGAGAGCCCTTTTTTTTTTTTTTTTTTTTTGCCCCATCCTCAAACATCCTGAATATTCTTTCTTGTTGTTGTCAAGACAGAGTCTTGCTCTGTCTCCCAGGCTGGAGTACAGTGGCATAATCTCGGCTCACTACAACCTCTGCCTCCCGGGTTCAAGCAAATCTCCTGCCTCAGCCTCTCTAGTAGCTGGGACTACAGGTGCGTGCCACAATGCCTGGCTAATTTTTGTATTTCTTTTAGTAGAGACGAGGCTTCACCATGTTGGCCAAGCTGGTCTCGAACTCCTGACCTCATGATCTACCACCTCAGCCTCCCAAAGTGCTGGGATTACAGGCATCCTGAGTATTCTTTTAGTTCAAGGTGTTCAAGATTGAGATAGTGATGAGATAGTTTCTCCAGGTGGTCTCCTTGGACCCAGAGACGTCTTTCTTGAGGTCAGAATTGTTTCTCCACTTCCCCTAATATTGGTGCAGGTGGCTAATGCTTACACTGGGGAAGATGCAAGAAAATTGATTTGCTGAACAAATGTGCTCATCATTCTTAATACAGTTGACCCTTGAACAACATGGGGTCAAACTGAATGAGTCCACTTAGTATGAAGATGTTTTTCAATAAATATGTTGAAAAAACTTTTGGAGATTTGTGACAATTTGAGAAAATTCACAGATGAACTGTGTAGCCTAGACATATCAGAAAAATTAAGAAAAAGTTATGTCATGAATGCATAAAATATATGTAGATACTAGTCTCTTTTGTCGTTTACTACCACAATATATCCACAAATGTATTATAAAATGTTAAAATGTATTAAAATGTATGCACAGAAACACCTACAGACTATACATGGCATGATTTGAAATTGAGAGAAATGTAAACAAATCAGAGATGCAGTATTAAGTCAGAACTGCATAAAAGTGACTGTTAATACTGTACTACTGTAATAATTTCAGAGCCACCTCCTATTGCTATTGTGGTGAGCTCAAGTGTTGCAAATATATGCTTAATACCCTGTGTAATGCTAATCATCTCCATGTGAGTAGTTCATTTGTCCAGTAAATTACATATCACAGTAAAAAGTGATCTTGAATATTTGTCATTGTGTTTAGTGCAATACCATAAACCATAAGTAACACCATGGGATTCACACAAAGTGCCACTAGCAATGCTGGAAATGCTAAGAAGCAGAGAAAAGTCATGACATTATAGGAAAAAGTTGAATTGCTTGATATGTACTACAGATTGAGGCCTGCAGCTATAGCTGTCTGCTGTTTCAAGATAAATGAATCTATTGTAAGTATCATTATTAAAAAAAGAAAAGGAAATTTGTAAAGTCATCACTACAGCTATGCCAGCAGGTACAAAAGCCTTGCACTTTTCATGAAACTTATCTTTCATACAGATTTCACGTGGGTGCAGAACTGATACAGAAAGGCATAACATATCTATAGACTCTGATATGATTCAACATAAAGCAAAGTCATTATATGACAACTCAAAGCAAAAGGAAGGAGAGGGACCTAAAGCTGGAGAAGTTAATACCTGCAAAGTATTTGATTTGATAATTTTTGAAAGAAGTTTGCTTTTAAAAATGTCAAGATAACAGGAGAAGCAGTCTCTGCAAGAGGCAGCAGATGAGTCTCCAGATGCCATTAAGAAAATCGATGAAGAGAAAGGGTATCTGCCAAACAGATTTTTAATGTGGATGAAAGTGTCCTATTATGGGGGAAAAAATGGTAAAAAGAACATTTATTATTAAAGAAGATAAACGAATACCAGGATTTAAGGCAGGGAGGAATAGGCTTCCTCTATGGTTTTGTGCAAATGCAGTCAGGTTCATGATCAGACTACCCTGATCTATAAAGGAGCTAACCTAACAGCCTTGAAGGGAAAAGATAAACACAAGCTGCTAGCCTTTCAGTTGTACAAGGAGAAGGCCTGGACTTCTTCCAAATTGGATGCTCTGATGCTTTGTCCGTGAAATCAGAAAGTACCTTGCCAGTAAGGGACTGCCTTTTGAAGTTCTTTTGATATTGAACAATGCCCCTGGCCACCAAGAACTCCATGAGTTCAACACCAAAGGAATCAAAGTGGTCTACTTGTCCCTAAACATAATGTCTGTAACTCAGCCTCTAGATCAGAGGGTCATAGGGATCTTTTAGGCTCATTACACACAATACTCTATGGAAAGGAGTGTCAACATTGTGAAAGAGAACTCTGATAGAAAACATCATAAAAGTCTGGAAGGATTACAACATTGAAGATGCTATTGTCATAGAAAACACCAAGAAAGCCTCAAGCCCAATTTCTGCTGGAGAAAACTGTGTCCCAACGTTGTGCACAGGACTTATGACAGAGACAACCAAGGAAATTGTGAAAGAGGTTGTGAATATGTGAAAAATGTGGGGGTGAAGAGTTTCAGGATATGGGTTTTGGAGAAATTCGACAGTTGTTAGACACCAGGGGAATTAACAGAAGATGAGCTGATGAAAGTGTTCTTCCGAACCAGGACCAGATGATGGTCCTGGAAACAAGATGGAGAAGAAACAGTGCTGGAAAACAGACATTGGACAGTCTAGCAGAAGGGTTCTGATTACTGAAGACTGCTTTCAATTTATTTTATGACATAGACTCTTCTACAATACAGGCACTGAAACTAAAGCAAATGGTGGAAGAAGGATTGGTACCATATATAATACTTTTAGAGAAATGAAAAAGCAAAATGTCAGACAAATTACAATGAATTTCTGCAAAGTTTCAGAGTGTGTCTACCTCTCTTCCTCCAGCTCCACCTCCTCCACCTCTGCTACCTGAGAGAAAAATCAACCCCTCCTCTTTGTTTTCCTCCTCAGCATACTCAACATGAAGACAACAAGAATAAAGGTCTTTATGATCATCCACTTCTGCTTAATGAATGCCAAATACATTTTCATTATGAATTCCTTAACATTTTTTTTCTAGCTTACTTTATCATAAAGCTACAACATATAATGCATATAACACAAATATTATGTATCAGTGGACTGTTTGTGTTATTGGTAGGGTTTCTGACCAACAGTAGGCTATTAGTAGATAAGTTTGGGTATAGTCAAAAATTACACACAGGATTTTTTTTTTTTTACTTGCATAGGGGCTTGGCGTCCTGACCCCTGTGTTATTCAAGGATTGCTTGTACTTTGCAACAATTCTTACAAATCTGTCTTTTATCTACAAACTATTGAGAAGCAGTGCTTACATTCACTGAGAGCTTTTGTTTTAAATTGAGTATGACTCTTTCAATCTACCCATAATAAATATTTCTAATTTTGGATTTTCTCTCTTAAGTGGAAGAATAAAAAGCAAACTCTGTTGTTTATTGTTTTTCTCTGTTTAGGTTATTTTTTTTTAAGAAAGGAACAAGGTGGTAGACACAGTATTTCATACCAGTTGATTTTCCTGCATGAGTTCTGCTATGAGAAGGCATGCAACATCCTAAGTAAGAAAATGTCTGCAGATAGCAATACTCAGAGGGCACTTACTTTAAAAAAACATTAGTCTCAATTACACGTGATCAATATCTTCCTGGAGGTGGTTTACATTAGTGGTTTTAATCAGCTGTTCTAGACAAGTGTGTGAGAGCCAAATGGAACTTAATTAAATACCATGCAAATCACATTTTGGTTCCTCTGGATGAGAGCTGACAATTTGAAAACTGAGGCTGAGGTTGTGATATGTATCCAGTTTCAAAGCAAATTATTCTTACTGGACAGGGCAGGATTTGACCTCCAAGACCCCATACTTCTTTAGCGCCAGAAGAAGATGAAGCACCTTGGGTGTATCCAGTGAAAAAATGACCAATATCATCAGCATCTTAAAACTGTATTTTATATTTTAAAAAAAAGTTGAAGGAACAAAGAATGGTTAGCTTACAAAAGAGGAAAATCATTGACCATTAGAGCTGAGAGGGACCTCAGACATCATCATTCAATCCCCTTCTGTGCAATGAGATTCAAAGAAGTTAGATGAATCAATGGAAGCACAGAGCTGATTTTTAGAAATGCAGAGACTAAAATGCAAGTCTTTCAACTTCCATTGCCCCAGAACTCCTTCCACAATGCCATCCTGCAAGTCCATGCTCTTTCCATTTTATGAGATAATGGTTCTCAAGAAGCATAAATAAGATGAATGCATTAAATGTTTAGCATAGAGCCTGGCAAACACTAGCAACCACTGAAGTGTCCATTCCTTTTTTCACTAGTATGCCTCTTACCATAACAACCATTAAACAAGAATAAGACTGTGGCTAGAGCTGACTGTTATCTTCAAATAAATGTCAACATACACTTTTTGAGAAGACTGAATTAGAACACATGAGAATAGATTATAAATTTCTATTTCAGCAATACGTAAAAGAAAAAATGAGAAAGAAAACTTTCTAATGAAGAGGATTGTCCAACAATATAAAAGGCTGTGCTCAGAGTTCAGTTCCTCATCACAGGCTATATTCAAGACAGCCAGGTGGCAAACAAGCAGAGATTCTCTCCAGAATTTTCTTAATGAATGGAAGCTAGGATTACTTTACTTCCTAGAGTCAGTCTTTAACCTGCTGGCAAGGCAGGGAGAGGAAAAGTATGTATCCAATGCAATGTTTAGAAAGTACAATTTAATAGAAGCAATAAATGGGAGGCAGAAATACTAGCAGGAGGCTAGCTAGGAGCTTTAAGGTTTTGAACTATCGACATAAAATCACAGAAAAATAAATGCTAGATTAACCACAAAAGCTTCAGAGTTCAATCTGCACTTATTTCACATTCCTTACAAAACTGGGCACGTATTGAGTCATAAAACTCCTGAGAATTCTGTTCCTGTCCAAGTTCTCTAAAATTCCCCATAATTAGTGCTTCTTCCAATCCCAGTGGCCACCCAACAAGGTCACCAAATGATGGGGAGGCTGGGAAGAGGATGAACAATGGGTCAGAAATCGTTTGCATTCAGCTGAGAAGCTGGCGTGCCTCTTTAATGATTGTGTCTTCTCTCCTAAGGTTATGTTGACATTGGGCTCATTCCAAAAGGAGCAAGGGACATAAGAGTGGTGGAAATTGAGGGAGCTGGAAACTTCCTGGCCATCAGGAGTGAAGACCCTGAAAAATATTACCTCAATGGAGGGTTTGCTATCCAGTGGAACGGGAACTACAAGCTGGCAGGGACCGTCTTTCAGTATGACAGGAAAGGAGACCTGGAAAAGCTGATGGCCACAGGTCCCACCAATGAGTCTGTGTGGATCCAGGTAATGCAGAAAGGAGGGAAACTGCTGACATGCGTGCTAGTTAGAATCTTTCTCATTTTTCCCCAAGGTATTTGCTAGGGGACCTTAAGAAAGAATCTTTTAAAAACTTCTTTTAGCAAGTAGCAGGGAGGGGAATGAGATATTGTAAGTTTGTGTTGTTAATCCTTTATTGCCTAGATATTACTGAAACCCCCATAACAAAATGCAAGGTGCTCTAAAACCACCCACTGGGAGGTTTGAGTTCCTCAAGTCTATTGTCACTGTGGCATGGGTTTCTAAGTAGCTTTCCAGCAGTGGAGATACACTGACATGTCACTGTATGTTGTCCTCAGGCAAAGCATTTGGCTTTGTGAAATTCTTGCTGGAAGGAGGAATTAGAATACAGTATGTGCTCTTCAAAGGCACAAGAAGTTAGTCTTTAACATTGGGCACAGAACTGGAGGAAAAGAGAGGAATGATTATACCGATAGTGGCAAGGCAGGTTGAGGATGACAGATGGCCAAGGAGTTAGATCCAGCCACAGTCTAAAGTTAGAGAGACATCCTTTCTGAGCTGGATATCAGAGCACTCACAGAAGCCGAAGGTCAAGCATGGCAGCTGTGATCCATGAATGTCAGGAGACTTTGCTTCTGACACAGGCAAGGATTTACACATGAGAATCCCCAGTCCCAGGGAGCAACCAATCCAGTGCCTCTGTTTAAGGTGAATTCAGTTTCAACATTTGATAAGTAGATTGCCTGCACGAGAGGGAAGTAAGGGGAAGATCCCAAGAGCAGCATACCTAAGCTAAAGCCCATGACCATTTTTATCTCAGAACTACTATTTGTTAAAGGTACTTGCCGAGACCAGCTCAGTCATGGAGACCCCAAACCAGTCAGTGCCAATGGAATTAAGAAACAGAAACAAAGAGTGTGAAAGTGGGAATCAGAGTGGGACATCAGGGGACTCACAGCATTTCAGAGCTGAGAGCCCAGAGCAGACTCTGACCCACATCTTTATTCTTTGTGAACAAGTTATTATTTTTAATAAGCAGGTGTTCAGTGTTTCTTCACAGAATAAAGATATACCAAACAGGCAGATGGTGCCTGTTCACAGTAAAATAGAAATCAGCTCAAAAGCACTCTTTACGAGTCAGCAATGGGGACAAGGTCATGTATCCTGTGTTTTGTGAACTGGTTTAACTAGTGTATGACTGGTACATATTGCTTACTATTTAACATTTGCTGAGTGCTCACTCCACGTCAGACACTTTTCTAACCACATTACATGTGTTTACTCATTTAACCTCACGAGAATCCTACAAATAGGCACCTATTTATTACCCTCACTTTGTATATGGGCAAACTATAGCACTTACCTATATTCACAAAGCTGGGAAGTACATAAGGGCACAAAGTGACCTGTCAGCCTGTTGTTGGAAAGGACACTTGTTGCCATTTCCACAGAGTACTTCCCATATGATTTCATCTCCCCAATTATGAGAACTGAAAATCCCATGGGAATCCAGCTAACAAATAATTGAATGGAGAATATATAGCTATAGAGGTAGAGGCAGGTATATAGATATGAACGTAGACACAGACACAGGTATAGACATAGGCATAGACATAGGCAGAGATCTCTTCAATGGCATTTGTTCCAGTGGATGCTCCCATAACCAATTTTAGATGACTGACATTGTATGGTCTTTTTACATGACTAGCTTATGGTATAAAGTCATGACAGTTTGACATGACCCCTCTCTTGCCTTTTAGCTCCTATTCCAGGTGACTAACCCTGGCATCAAGTATGAGTACACAATCCAGAAAGATGGCCTTGACAATGATGTTGAGCAGCAGATGTACTTCTGGCAGTACGGCCGCTGGACAGAGTGCAGTGTGACCTGCGGGGCGGGTGAGAAACAGCTGCTCTCATTATGAAGCCACGCCAGCCTCAGAGCCGGCTGCAGAGGCGATTAACCCACTGATTTGCTTTGTGCTTTGTGCTTGTGCAGATCCACCGAGATGGCCAGGGGCCTCTGTGGACAGGGAGTATGCAGGGGCCTGGTTTGAAGAGAGGCAGCTTTTCTTTTATCAGCTCTATATACTGGCCTTTTATAGAACAGATAAAAACTTTGATAAAAGTTTGGTTTTACCAAACTTTTATCAAAGTTTTTATCTGTTTTATAAAAGGCCAGTAAGAGGTTTTGTTACGTGTCAAACAAAAAGCATTAACAACAACTGTGTCTCTGGTTGAGGACCTGAGGACACAAAAGCGGAACAACTGCTCAAACATGTACCATAAATCATGGTCAAATTCAAACCATAACTAGCTCTTCTGATTCCCAACCCAGTGTTCTTACTCCATCTCCTATTTTTCCATTTTTATACATATAGCCGGGGAGTAGCTTTCTCTCACAAAATCAAGCACTAGAGAAGTTCACTTGCTGCCAAGTATTAGTCAGGATGGGGCAAGTTCTGCACAAGAACAAAAAAATTGAAATCTTAGTAATTCAACCAATGCAGGTTGATTGTTAACTCACTGTATGTCTGAAGCAGGTTGGAAGGCTCTGATTCGTTTCCTATGTAAGACATCCAAAACACATGACTTCCAATTGCCCCATAAGGAAAGAAAGAGATAAAAGAAGCAGCCTGGCTCTGTTGATAGCCTTGGCCGGGAAATGCTGCTAGTCACTTCCACGCACATCTCATTGGTTGGTCTTAGTCACATGGGCACCATCTAACTGCAAAGAGAGGCTAACAATCATGGAGGGGCACGTGGACATTTGAGGAGCATGGAATCTCTCTACTGCAGTGCCGGATGAACTTTCCCAAAGCCTGTGAAGGCAGGGGTCAGGACCTGTTGAATACTTGAGGCTGTATCACTCACTTAGGGGGCCTCCACCTCTCTCTCTCCTTTGGGTCATGTCTAAGTCTGTTCTGGAACTTCCTGCCTCTAGCCTGTAACTGCAACCTGCAAAACTAGAGCAGCTACGGAGTGATGTGCCAGAATTGGTGACACAGTAAAAGGGAAGAAAAGTGAAGCAGTGAATGAACCAGAAGACCATGGTCCATTCCACAGCAGGCTTCCCTCTCACACTCCGGGTCTCTGCGTCACCGGCTCTCTGGCTTTCCCACCCCCAAGAGTTGTGCACCATCAACCTTATGAACAATTTTTGTATTATCAACTTCTTTCTTTCCCCATTTCAGCATAGAAAACCAAGGTTAGCTTTTAGAATTCATAAGAATAAAATGTTCATTCTAACTTGTGTGGCAATTTAACAATGTTAACTAACCCCCTGAAAATCTGTCAAGGTCAAAGGTGCAGTCTGTGGCAGCAGCCATGAGTGGTGCTGATAGGAGAGTCAGTCCTGCCATTCCTACCACTCCCTCTAGTATTTCCAAACGTACTGCCCACCACTGCCCAGAGTGCGGGGCTGGGCAAAGGCAATTTAAGCAGAAAATAACCGGGTGAGAAAAACTTCCCCTGAGGAGCAATGGGAGGAAAATGAAGTCATTGTGACTATAGTCATAAATATTTTGTTGATTTGTCATCCCCTGTGTTCTCATCTTTCTATGAAGTACAAGTTTAACTCTAAGTCATTTGTCCCAAGACACCATAGAATGAAACAGCCAATCCTGCTGACAGGGACTCCTGAAAGAAACAAGAGAACATCCTCTACTCTCTTCTGTTTCAAGATAGAACGGACCCTTTGCTTCACACGCACAATATTTCAGAGCAGCAGGTATCAAGAGATAAGTGGATGACCTGTGCAGTAATCACAAAAAGACATCTGAAGTCAGCTAGGAAATTGGACATTCTTACCAGATGTGAATCAGACATTTGGCTTTGTTACAGCCTAAGCCTTCAGCAGCACTTCCGCCTACCTGGGTAAATGTCACTCTGATTACCAAGACTTACTGGGAAAGATCACAATGCTCACATGCCCACCTGAACTTCAGCCACACTGTTTGTTTGAGTAAGGGTGAATCTTACTCTGGCAAAGGAGAAAGACAGCAAGACTCTTAAACATAAATGATGAAATGCTATTATTCACACAGGACACACCATTGCTAAATATAACATTGGAAGGCTTCCTGAAACACTGAATAATTCAGTGATGGATTTTTATTCTATTTAAGCTAAAACTTTCAACACTGTAAAAGAAAGTTAAACACGTTACTGAAACATGAAAAACTGTCACCCCCAACACATGTACTTTTGCTACTTTGCTTTCCTTTCAAAGCATTTTTTTCTAATCATAGATGTATATAGTTGTGTGCATATGGATGCATTTATGCACGTTGTATATGTACACATATATTTTCGCTTATCACAATAGGGTACTATTATGATTCCTTATTGCTGTTCTTCTGATGAGCATTTGAGGACTCATGTAAAAAATGGTCTCCTTAGTTTCAATTTCTACGTGAAATTTCTAGATTAAAAGAAAATAAATATTATAATTCACTTACACCAAATTATCAGATAATATTAACTTACTACCAAATTTATTTCCATAGTGAGTAGGTTACAAATAGGTAGTAGCAATCATTTTTTAATTGCTGTGTTATTTTAGTTTTACTGAGAAACATTTCAAACATACTAACAAAATAGAGAATGTAGTAACAAATTCCTTTATATTAACCACTCAGCTCTATTGCTCTTACCATTTTGTTGTTTGTTTCAGTCTTTACTTTTAAAGACAAAAAAAAAAAAAAAGCCCATCTCCACTTTCTTCACTTTTTTCCCAGAGTTAACTAGGGTTATGAAACCAGTGCTTATTATTCTCATGCAGGTGGTTAAATACTTTTACCATGTATGTGGTTAAATATGTATAGCCATACACATTATATAGAATTGTTTCTCAGGCATTTAATCTTTCTACATATAGTATCATATGCATTATATCATTCTTTGTCTTTTTTTTCCTCAACATTTTGCTTTTGTGGTAAATCCACATTGATTAAAGTAGCTCTAGTACTTCTTTTTTTTCTGTCACCCAGGCTGGAGTGCAATGGCATGATCTCAGCTTACTGAAACCTCTGCCTCCGGGTTCAAGTGATCTCTTGCCTCAGCCTCCAAAGTAGCTGAGATTACAGGCATGTACCATCACACCCAGCTAATTTTTGTATTTTTGGTAGAGATAGAGTTTCACCATGTTGGCCAGGCTGGTCTCAAACTCCTGACCTTAAGTCCTCCGCCCACCTCAGCCTCCCAAAGTGCTGGAATTACAAGCGTGAGCCACCATGCCCAGCCTCTCGTACATTTATCTTAAGGGTTGTGTACCATTCTATTACATTAATATATCATGATTTATTTGTACATTCTACTATTTTGCAACTATAAATCTTTCTGCAATTCTGTAATGAATATCTTATTCCTTATTACTTCAATACTTGGGCTTCTTTAATTTGTATACCTAAAAGTAAAATTCCTGGGTCATATAGTCTGTGCATATTGAGGGAATAAACCCATGAACTCATAGGGTGACACTGAATATTTTATATTTTTCAGGGAAAAAACAAAATGTTAAAGGGAAGCACAGTAAGAGTTAACATTTCTTGGACCATATGTCTACTGCTAGCTCGAGGTAGTTCAAGGTTAGGTCACACTACATTCTTTTTAATGACATTCTATGTTTGTGAAACTGGCTTTTCAGTGGTTGCTGTGATTAAAAAATCAAGTACCACCTGAAAATCAATGTGAAACTGGAAATGTGGTATCTAGTCTCATTCCAAGATTTGAAAAGTTGTACAGTATCTAATAGATACAGGTATCTCATGAGTGTAACTTAATTTAAAATGAAACAAAAATACTACTTTGTTTTTCAATTTATGTGTATTATTTTTTTCAGATGGCTACTAAGTTGTTGGACCACAAATTTTTATTAAGTTGGTACCTAATTATTTAATGAATGGAACTGTTCAATGTTTTATTTTGCCTAGAGGCACCATGAAAAATTATCAAAACACAAAGGGCACTATGAACCAAAAATGTTGCAAGTCCCTGTTCTAGTCTTTGGCTTGTCTTTCTCACATATGTAATCCCAGCACTTTGGGAGGCTGAGGCAGCTGGATCACCTGAGGTTGGGAGTTCAAGACCAGCCTGACCAACATGGAGAAACCCCATCTGTACTAAAAATACAAAAAAAAATTAACTGGGCATGGTGGTGCATACCTATAATCCCAGCTACTCAGGAGGATGAGGCAGGAGAATCACTTGAACCCAAGAGGCAGAAGTAGTAAACTGAGCTTGCGCCATTACACTCGAGGCTGCGCAACAAGAGCAAAACTCTGTCTCAAAAAAAAGAAAAAAATTATGTTAATGACTTATTTACATTAAGCGGAACTCATATTAAGTAGAAATATTACACCAGTTTGGGAGGCAGGAAATCACTTGTGCCCAGGATTTTGAGACCAGCCTGGTCAACACGGTGAAACTCTGTCTCTACAAAAAATACAAAACTTAGCCAGGCATGGTGGTAGGGGTGGGCGCCTGTAGTCCCAGCTATTGTGGGGGCTATGGCAGGAGGGTTACTTGTGCCCAGGAGGTTTAGGCTAGACCCTGCCACTGCACTCCAGCCCGGGCAATAGAATGAGAACCTGTCTCAAAAAAGAAAAGTTAAATTTTTAATATAATGAATTTTGTCTGTTTTCCTTTTAAAGTTTGTGCTTTTGGTGTCTTAACTAAAATACTTTTCTATCCCATATATAGATATGATCCCATATTTTCTTCTAAAAGTTTTAAAATTTCGAATTTCACATAGAGAGTTTAACCCACCTAAATTTATTTTTGTATGAGGTATAAAGTAGGAATCCAGTTTCCTTAGGAATAATCAACTATTCCAACCACGTTTATTAAATACGACACCCCCTCCTTGTTGGTACTTTTAAAGCTGTTACTGTTTTAAT